ATCTTGTAATGCATGGGCCCGGGGGGCATGCCTCGGGCAACTCCAATGGGCCTCTTGTACTCTCCATTGAGGTGTTTCGAAGGTTGTCTGGCGACTCGTCTTTGTCGTTCTATCTTCCCCAAAACACCACAAAGAAAGAGCTAGGCTTTGTAAGCGACATTCGGACACGCTACAATACGGACATCAATGCCATCGCCAAAGTGGTTAATGATGCCATTGACGATGCAGACTCGATCACAAGCGATATTATCTACCCAGAGTTTGAGGTAGATCCATATCTAGCAACTTTCATGACAGAACTCCTTGCTACTGACGCATACGGCTCATCTAAATTTGTTACAACGGACAGTGCACTGGCAGCTACCGATGCATCGTTAGTTCAGCAGCCAGAAATTGACCCGAATACAAAAAAGCCTCTGAGTGTAGCTAAAGTGGTGCTGCAGCCATTGTTCAACATTTGTGAGAACCCCGCAACTTGCGGGACAAATCATGAGCCACTTTTTGCGCAGTATACTGGAACAGACTTTGCTTTTAACAAGACAGAGATTATGGGAAGAGCCCAAGCGCATACCGCTCTATTGTTGCTTACTGATCCCAAGATGATGACAGCAGCAACAGCTCTCATCCGTAACAATAGCACAATTCCTAATTAAATAATTCATAATAATATACTAAAGAAGGATATTTAATCAGCTATTATGATGAGCCTCATTCCCAAGTATTTGGATTTTATAAGTTTCGTAGAAGATAATGTCGATTGGTATTACATAACATGTATAAATTGTGGGAACTTCCTGACTGACAAACTACCAAAGTGCAACTACAGCAGCTGTGAGTATAAAAACCATGATTTGCATGGCGGAACCCATGTGCCAATTGGCGGCTCTTGATGTGAACGGCGGGAAGCTTTGAGGGACGGAATACTGGTCCTGGTGGGTCGCAGCGAGTTGGCATCTTTTCTGGGCCCAGATACTTTGTAAGAGCTAGCTGTATTACTTGGACTTCCTAAAGAAGATCCTATCGGCCACGTTTTCATACTCTGGCTGCCATTAGCGATGGTTGTGAAGGGAATTTGTGTTTCTGATGAACTAGTCTCGTGATTGATGCTAATTGTGGCTGACGTGTTATCCGAGTTAAAGTTTGGCGTGGTAAGAGGTGCGTTGGATGTTACTGTGACTGGACAGTAAGTTATCAACGATGTGATGGTTTCGCTACTGATGAGACCGACGACACAGCCGGCTACATTTGAGGAGCAGCTAGTAATAGTGTACAAAGTGTTTGAAGTTACAGTCGCCGTAACATTTGACAGCACAAGAGTCGCAGTCTTAGAACTACTGGACGGTCGAGTGCTGTTTGTGTAACCGACGCTGGACGTTGACGTAGCGATAGTATAAGTGGGTGAGGTCTCTTGACAATGACCAGTGAGACGCGGAACAGCATCAGGTCCCTTACCGACTGCCACTAGGTGAGAGCCACAATCTACAGTATTGGCGACTGTTTGTGAAACCCTGCTGAGCAAGCGTATCAATGACAGTTGGATACTGGTCATCCCAGCCCCTAAGGTCCGGCCCAGTCCCAATGATACCATAAGTTTCAGGTTCACTGTCGAAAGCAACCCCAAAGAGCTGATTTTTGAGCTCAGCAGCCCTAATTTTCACAGCCTCATAGGCATAAGTCATGTTCACATATCCACTTCCGTAACCGATGACATGCTTAATACCAGTATCGTTAAACGTACTACTTCTATCACAGTCCAAGTGACCCAGCTGTTGACACAGACTTGGATTGCTGGCCTTGTTGCAGTTAGGGTTAACCCACAGATCAGAAGAACCAGTGTCAAACAAAACTCTAACCAGCTGACCTGGGGTGCCCATTTCGATATCTATCGAATACAAGGTGCCCGTCAATTGATTCGTCAAGCTGTTGTCCATTTGTCGACGATTGATAGCCCGTACAGGTGCACCAGGGGATGCAATTATGGGGTATTTCAGTATCCCAGGATGCTGGACCATACGATTGTTTGCTGGTGGTCCAGCAGCAACGGATACCGCGAGCACAAAGGGTAGTGTCTTCAGCATGATGAACAAATGGCTCTGTCTATGGAAACAGGTGCAAGTAAAGAAAGACATCACCAGACGTTCCCTGGAATAATTGCAATGCTGATTAAACGAAGTAGAATTAATGTTTGTGATAAGTCAAGCTGTGGTCGGTAAACAAGAGGTTGCCTGTAAGAAACGAATGAATACGGCGAGTTCTATCTTCTTATACTCAAGTTTTTCCCATTTCAATTGTTGTTCCAGGTTCAGCTCATAGGATCTGCGCATCGCATCTCGTTCTCGCTCGTTCTCACTCCATTTGAGGCTGCGCCTTCCCACGCACGCTAACTCGGTTGGCCAGCCACCCCCGGCATACCGCTCACGCAGTAGAGGTGAGCGGTGCACCCATCACAGGCGCTGCGCTGGAAAGATCTGTAACGAGCTGGTCATGTCAGTGTGATTGGGCGTGATATATGGCGCAAATGGAAATTATGGAGAGAGATATTGGGATGTCTGCATAGATAGGTGCTACAGTGGTGGTCCAAAAGTGACGATGCAGATTAAAAATCCTATACTAAACCCACTAAAATACAAATTTTAAAACCCATATTTTACCTATAAAATAAGAATTAAAAAAATAAAGAAATAAGTATTAGAATAAATAAATAGTAAAATTTTATTATTATATAGCCTTATTTATTATAACATAGCTATTTATATGGGAATGTGGGGTTACATCGTCACTTTTGGACCGGGACTGTAGATCTCATCTCAAAGCGTCCAACGGGAAGCTTGGCACCGGACAGTGGGATTTCTTGACACACTGATCTTCAATTACAAACCATCGGGAAGTAAAAGCCAGCGAAACCCGTCTAGATGCACGACATCTTCGCTGCAAATCTAAAGTATATGCCCTTGACGTAAAGGAGGAAAATTCTGGCCTTGACATTAAAATGAGACAACTGTGTGAGACGCTCTTGGTTGTGTTGCGTAGCATGTCCTAGGGTAGATGCCAGAAGGCCGTTTTTGGTCTAGGATTTCGCATGTTGTATCGCTTCGAGTGCGATAAGGTGCCACCTAAGTACGCTTCAAAACTGCAGCCAATCAAAGAGTCAGAAGTTGAGTATTCTCCCCTCAATATAGAAGAAAAGTGGATACGGTACTTAGGTGGCACTTTATCGCACTCGAAGGGATGTAGTAGCCGCGTCGGTAACATTTTTTCCATGTTGATACTCGCCATTACCTGCATGCTGACGAGGCGAAATGCTTAGCTCATTTGCGCTTTGGCGGTAGTCTGGAAAATACAAGTTTCAGGCTCTCCATATCATTCAAATTGGCCTTGATAACTTCGATGCCATCTGCAGCAAGTTGTTTTGCTGATGGTGATGAAGGATCACGGGTCATTCCACGGACACGGAATCCTACTGCTCGAAATAGCCAGACATATCGGACCACCCTCCAAGCGCAGACTGTGATTGTGCAACTTAGCCGATTACCTCCTCAAGATACCCCAAAAACTATTATACCTGCCTGATGTTCAGCCGTACTACTATTAAAGCTTGGGTGGCTCTGATATGAGATGCATGTTACAGCTATTAAAACACCAACTCTACCTTTGCATAAGCATGGCTTGAAAACCGTTTCTACTGAAGAAAACTGTCAGCATAAACTATGAGGGACGTTACGCTAGAACGTTAGGTAGTGAGTAATAAACTAGGCTTTGCTATTGTACCTTCAAATTATTATACAGAGTACTTGTTATTTCGTAGTAGGGTTTCTAGACTAAGTGTCGCAAAACGCAGCTTCGGCGATTCTGTCGGCGATTTTCCACATATGTATGTCACGTCAGACTCATCCAGTATAAATGTTCTAGCCCCATCTTGTAGCTAAAACATTATCAATTTCAGTAACCCAATGTATACATACGACCAAAGAAACAAGTATTTCGGTGCGTCTTATTTCGTGGCTCTATGGAAACTATGAATTACCTAGATGTTGAGCGGCGTGGGGTAATTTTTATTATCACGCTACAGCGGCCGCCAGAGAACCGGCTTACTATGAAGCTGTGCCAAGACCTCATCTCCACATATAGAGGCATTGAGCAAGAGCTGTCAGCTGAGACACTTGAACCTGAGGGTGCTGTAATCTTAAGAGGAAGTGATGCGAAATTCTTTACTACGGTAGGCCGCCTACTATTCTAACATTCAATCGATTACCTGTCTAACAATGAGCAATAGGGCTTAGACTTGGATGAAAGAGGCGTCAACCCTTTCTCCAGTACCGATGGTTTCTATCCAGTACGTCTATCTGACCCCAATCTTGGACTTTTTGTCTCACAGCAGGAAACTAGTTACTTCGCACCCTTCTCGATTTTCCATTCCCTACGATATGCCTCATTACCGGTCATACCTTTGGCGGCGCATGTCTCCTCACTCTTGCCCATGATTATCGCATCATGAACTCCCAACGCGGGTTTTGGTCAATGCCACCCGTGAACCTGGGTCTCCATTTTGACGGCATGGGGTCGTTACTTCGTGCGAAGCTACGTCCACAGGTGTCAAGGACAGTGTTGTTGGAAGCGCACAAGTTCACTGGCAAGGAAGCATTCGAAGCGGGCATTGTGGATGAAATTGCCCCGCCCGAAGAGATGTTAAACAAGGCAGTTGCTTTGGCAGAAAAAGTCAAAGGAAAAGCAAAGATGGGCGTCTTTGCGTTGTTGAGGTTAGAGTTGTACGGGGAGGCTCTGCGAGAGTTTCAAAAGATTAGCCATATCCACAGCCGTGAAGTATCAAGACAGCCAAAGGCTAAGATTTAATCTCACTTTGTGACACAGGAAACTTGCAGCTTCGGTTCGTGCTATATAGCGTACTCTTACGCTTACCATGCATTTAAGGAGCTCAGCACCCTGGTTTAAATTTCAGTATATGCTAAATATTTGCTAGCGTATGAATATCTCCCCTCGTTTTACTGGCTACGAGACTCTTCTATGAATTCAAGCGCTCTGTTTAAATAGACCATAAACTCTCGAGGGTTTTCCGTCATCGGAAAGTGGCCCATCCGTTCCATCTTCTCGAACCGAGCGCCAGGAATTTGGGCTGCGGCTTCGCCACTCATCTCAGGGGTGCAGCTATAGTCATACTCACCAGTTAACATGTAAACCGGACACAATTTCGTATCAATCTTCTCAATACGCCCTCTTCCATCCCAACCACGGAAGTAGAACTTTAGGTCACCTTGGAATATCCCAGCAGATTGAGACGAATAGATCCACCAGATTAATCGTTTTTGGAATTCGGGTGTCGTAGGAGCAATCATCCCACATACTCGCTCTGGGTTTATGACCGATTCATTGAGATGACCACCAAGCTCGTAGGGGGGTTGTACTAAAGGCAGATGAGCGGCTGCTTCCACTGGAATGACTCCTCCAATTCCGAGCTCTTTAGCTTTAATTGCGACCGCAAGACAAACATGGCCTGCCATACTGGCACCAGATACAATAGGCTGGTGGAGCCTCAGTTTTTTGATGACTTGGTGTATAATCTCAACATATGTGTCTTCGTCATTGGTATATCCTTGTGGTGGTTGTTGTTGGCCTGGATATGATCTCCCATGACCAGGTAAGTCAAATGCGTACATAGTATATCGCTCTTGGAGACTCCTGTTGTTCATGAGATCATGATATTCACGGGAGTCGGCACCGGCGGTGTGAAGCCACAGGATCTGCCTTGGTCCCTCCCCTGCGATCTCATAGAAGATCTTAGTGCGACCAAATACAGGCAAATCGAGCCATGCATAACGTCCCACAATAGAATCGTCCTCCTGATCCTCATGGTATCCGGTACCATTTGTGACTGGCGCCTTTGTGTTCACTATATGCCGACGTGCTGCGTCAAGGAAGAGCCTCCACAGCCTCGCGCTTCTTCCAAAGGCTTGAATATCTCCTAAGATACCCACTCCAGGTTCATAACCGAGTATGCGCAAGATACCCCAGTAAGATTGATACGGAGGCTTGGGAATAGGAGAAAAGAACTCTTTCCAGTCTTCAGATCGAGCGGCCAGGGCGAATTCAGTCTGTTGTTGATTGTTCCATCCTAAAAGTGCTTGGCCAGCCCTGATAGTCACAAGTAGGGTACACTGAGTGTCGCTACATGTAATGCCAAACGACACGTCATGTCCAATGGAAGAAACCCGGAACTCCTCATTGGCATTGAAGTAGGATTCCAGTCTGGACAGAGTGGGTCGCAATTCTGCCTCGAAGTTCCAAAATGCCATTGTTGTAACGATTGCAGCAATATCCAGTGCGTCTGTACTCTGTTAATGAAAGCTTGAGTCGGAGTGGCTCTTAGTTGTATTCATTTATATAACAGTGGCTGTATACATGAAGAGGATGTAACTTTCCTCACGGTATTGTAGGATTAAAGCCATTCAGCACACACCAAGATGCGGGGGGAACACGCGTATCCCACTTTCTCCGGATGCTTCGAAAAATCCGACGGCGAAGCCTTAACGCTCTCGGCGTTTTTCCTAGTGACTTTTAGCCCAGTATCCTGAATGGCCCATCTTTAAATATCGGATTCATCTGAAAGGTACAGTGATTACTGTTCATCAACAACTCGAGCTATTAGCGCCGCGACAATATACTGTTCTATTATACCTCATTTACATCATGGCAGATCAGGAGATCCCGAAGAAAATGCTCGCCTGCCAGGTTTTACAGGTATGGCCTCATATATAGTGTTTTAATTAGAGAGAAAAAGATAACTGAGAAGCATATCATTGACAGTTTAATAAACCCTATGTAATTCACGAGTTACCTGTACCTCAGAGCATCGGACCACACGATCTTCTACTGAAGACTGCAGTCGCCTCATTATGTCACACGGATTCTATGGTCCAAGAAGGCACGATGGCAGGAACAACCCTGCCTATTACGGCCTCTCACGAAGGTGTAGGCACGGTTGTTGCAAAGGGTGAGGCCGTGACCAAGTTTGCATTACGCGATCGCGTTCTTGCTGGAATCCCTTTCCATCAGTGTTGGCAGTGTGAAGACTGCAATAGCGAACACCCCCAATACTGCTCGTATCGTACTGGTGGCATTGGGCTTCAGGTCGATGGTGCTTTTGCTGAGTACATCCTGATTGACTCACGGAGCGCGTCGCTTGTCCCAGATGCCTTACACTTTACAGACGCAGCGCCCTTGGCTTGTGCTGGTATCACCGTGTGGCGCGCACTGCTACGAACTGAACTGAAGGCTGGAGATTGGTTAGGCATCGTTGGATCTGGAGGAGGTCTGGGTCACTTAGCCGTTCAGTTTGCAAAGGCCAAGGGGCTGCGAGTAGTCGGGCTAGATGCTCGTGATGAAGGGATCAGTCTATCGAGAGAATCTGGAGCAGAAGTTGTTGTTGATGTGCGAAGTGGGCCCGACTCTGCCGTAAAGCAAGTTTGGAAAGCTACTCAAAACAAAGGCGTATCTGCCACCATTAACCTGAGCGATGCCGCCTCGGCAGCCGCCCTCGCATGTGCTGTGACTAGGAAGCACGGTCGAATGGTACAGGTTGCTCAGGTATGTGAATCCATTCCAAAACATCTTATGTATTCATCGCTTACTAAGTCAATCTATTTAAAGCCCATTGAGGTAAATATTCCACATCGCGAACTCATCTTTCGGGATATCTGTGTGGTTGGCTCGTTGACGGCGTCTCCGAAGCAAACACAAGAGATGCTGGAATTCGCAGTACAGTATGGATTAGAGGTTAAAACCAATGTCTATCACGGCTTGCGAGAGATACCAACCATGGTCAAAGACGCGCATTCAGGGTTAATGAAGGGTAAGAGCGTGGTGGTAATCGATAGCACGCAAGTGTAGATACTCGATCTTAAAGCTGCTTTGTTAGGCACCTGTGCCAATCCCAATCTCTTACCGACGACGCGTGGATTATGTAAGACTGTTGAAAGGTTTACATATATTTAGCAAGCATTTCTTTGGATCGTATCGCCTTCAAGGCAGATGTGTGGGATAAGTGTTCGGCGTTTTATCCCCCACGAGCTAGCACAAAGTACCCCATATCTACCCCAGACTTTCCCCGCGCCCAACGCTGTGCCACGGCCCACGAAGAATACACCGAGACCATCCACAAGGAGACTGCCATGTGCTTCTGGCTTCACCAATCCATACATCCTCAAGGCGGGGACGCACGCTAATGCCAATAGGCGTTATACATACAGCTTTTAGTGCACATGAAATGGGCAACATGATTTAACTAACGGCGATTCATGTAATCTGACAAAGAACGGAAAAGTATTACTCTTGGCTTTTACTGAAGTGGAGAGACTCTTAGCTGAATATGTGACTTCTATATAAGCTACTCATCTGACATGACTCTGACATTAATGTCCCAAAACGTTCCCCAGTGGGCTCGTCATGATTACAGCCGGTACCATGGATAACAAGAAGGAAATCAGCATGGTTGAGGACGCCGATCTAAACGGCGAATCCATCCCACAGCTAGACGAGGCCGAATTCAAGAAAATACTGCGTCGTATCGATCTTCGACTGATTCCACTTCTCTCAGTTCTCTACCTCCTTTCTTTCCTCGACCGAGGCAATGGTGATTTCCCTTCCTCTAGCCGTGCCTCCGCTATTCTATTAGGGAAATATACTGATCGTCGTTTATAGTGGGAAACGCCAATGTTGCTGGCTTGAGCAAAGATTTACATCTCACCGGAACGCAATACAACATCGCTTTGACAATGTTTTTCATTCCGTATGGCCTCTTCGAAGTTCCTAGCAATATACTTCTCAAGATTTTGAAGCCACGCGTGTGGATCCCTATTATAATGCTATCTTGGGGGACGATTATGACGTGAGTAGCAAATCCCGTCAGTCAAGATATAAGAACCTATAACTTAAACAGCGCCAATGTAGTTTGATGGGGATTGTTCAAAGCTACGCTGGCCTTGTGGTAGCCAGAGTTTTCCTTGGTATTGCAGAGGTATTTACATCACTGTTGAACCCGCTGTCTATAATGAACGATATTATTGACAAAGGAGAAAGGCTGGTTTCTTTCCCGCAGCCTCGTATCTTCTGACATGTTGGTATCCACGTCATGAGGTTCAGTTACGAATGGGCTACTTTTATGGGGCTGGTGCCCTGTCTGGTGCTTTCTCTGGTCTTCTTGCCTTTGCCATTGAGAAAATGGATGGGGTTGGTGGGCTTGCAGGATGGCGGTGGTAAGGAGTAACCCTTCTCTCAGAAAAAACGATTGGTATATTTTACTAGATCTGCGCTTACCAAGCTCATCATAGGATATTCATTATTGAAGGACTGCTTACGGTAGTCGTTGCTGTTGCCACCCCCTTTCTTTTACCCAACGATCCCATGAGTTGCAACTTCCTCAATGATACGGAGAAAAAACATGTTGTGAATCGCCTTCGGGAATTCCAGCAAGCCCAACACGACGGTGAAAGTGATCCATTTAAATGGGAATACTTTTGGCAAGCCTTTACAGATTGGAAAATCTGGATGTCAATACTGGTTTATTGGGGGAATGCTATGCCAATTTACGGGTAAGCATTGTGCATTTGCATTGAATAAAAATTTAGCGTTCTCTATCTTCAAGATGGCTCACAATGTTTGGCTTTGCCTCTCACAGCTTTATTTATACCCTACCAGTCGTCATTGACGAGCTAGGCTACTCGGCCACCAACGCGGTAAGTCGAGATTGCCGCCGTTGATAAACCTTTACTAACAGGCAGCTCAGCAACTCCTCACCATTCCTGTGTACATTGCAGCCGTCATAGCTACCGTGACGTCGGCGTATTTTTCTGATCGCCTCAAGACTCGATCTCCCTTTATCATCATTCCACAGCTGTTCGGCGCGCTCGGCTTGGTCATTGTGATGGCCATACCAAAAGAAAGGTATCCGGGCGCGGTGTATGGAGCATTGTTTATCGTAGCTATCGGGTTATATACAACAATTACGGGCGTTGTATCGTGGAACGGTATGCTTCCTTCCTATTATCGTCCCGATATTTCGGCTTGTTGACTGGGAACAGCGAATAACTTGGCGGGAACGTGGAAGCGTAATATTGGACTGGGCCTACAGATCAGTATCGGCAACTTAGGCGGCGCAGTGGGAACAAATATTTACCTCAAGCAGCAGGCACCCAACTATTGGTTGGGATTTGGCTTTTCCCTTGGTATCCTCTTGGTCGCTAGTTCGGCTGGTATGGTCATGCGTGTTGCTTTGCAACGTATCAACAAGAAGCGTGAGAGTATGAGTCGCGAGGAGATTCTTGAAAAATATACGCCCGAAGAGTTGGATCGAATGGGCGACAAGAGTCCTCTCTTCATCTATACTCTTTGAACATGCCATCAAACTCATTTGGCCTTGGAGGCCCTGGATTGCGTCTCGCTATGGATCTCGTCATTCCCTGCTTACATACATGTATCCGCAATCACAATGTCTTAGATCCAGTACTCCATTAGAACTGCTCTGCTTTAAGCTAATATAGCCATCTATGGAAATTAATTGTCTAAATACTCACGCTTCGTATATTAATTATTAGTTTCACATCAAACTCTGGACACGTGTTGCTCTTTTTTGGCCCAATATTAACCATGGATTTACCGTACCCTTACTCTCACGAAAATTCGAGGACCCCAGTTAATATGGAGACGCCTCAGCGTTGCCAAAGGCAGTACTCCGTACATTTTGTCATGACGTTAAATATACCAAACCAAACCAAACTGTACGTTTTGTCAATAAATTCCCATAAACTTACTAATTCATTTTGAAATCTTAGAAAGACGAAGAGTAGTTCGGTCAGTCACTTGACCTGAGGTGCTCCTAAAAACGCCATGTCCCCCGCAACATTGGGCTTCCTGTCAAAAAATCACCGGCGCTATTGCCGGCACTATGACGCGCCTTGGTACCTTCGGCGCCGCATCCTAGCTGATTCGCCGGTAGACCGCATCATCGGCGATTCCTCCCAGGAAAAATCACCTGTGATCGTTCGACCCAAGCACCTAATTCTTCAAGAACATTGTCATGCGATAGTTTTACATAGTGGCGTCTACAGTACATATTATAGACTATTTAGGCAGCTTTAGGATAGGTATTTTGATCATCGCCTAACTTAGCAGCCAAGGAGAAAGCAACACCTCGTACACGATGCAGAGAGACTTCACCAGTGAACTCAAGCCCGCCACTCCGGGGGGGAGCGTCCTAATAGAATCAGAGAGAGCTCGCTCATCAATTCCAGTAGATTCTCTCTCTCAATTCATCTTGGGCAAGGATTGGCTTCAGATGCAGCGGAGGCTCTTGCCTTTGTTAACGGGCCAAAAGCTTCTCTCTAAGCAAACTCAAATGAATCTCTCTCGGCCTGACCGATATCTACTTGGTCTGGCTCGGGCAAAGCTTCTCCGACGAATGGCCGATCAGTATCACTGGTCAGACGAGGAGTACGAGATGGCCAAATACCTCGTTGACGACGTGTCGCCCTATACTCTCCATACGACCATGTTCCGGCAGACACTCCGAGAACAGGCTAGTGATGAGCAGCAGCAGTACTGGCTTCCTAAGCATGGTCGATGGGAGGTGATAGGGGCTTATGCACAGACAGAAATGGGCCACGGGAGCAATGTGCGAGGTATCGAAACTGAAGCTCGATGGGACCCGGTGACTAAGACATTCATCCTCCACAGCCCGACCTTGACAGCAAGTAAATGGTGGAACGGGTCACTGGGTCGCACGGCTACCCATGCAATTGTAGTAGCTCAGTTGCTGGTCCCCAAGAAAACTGCTGCCAAGCATTCAGTGGAATATGAAAGATTGGGCCCTCACCATTTTGTCGTACAAGTTCGAGACAAGGTAACACATCAGCCTTTGGATGGAATTGTCGTCGGAGACATAGGGCCAAAGTATGGCTACGCACCCATGGACAATGCGTTCATGCTCTTCAAGCATCACAGGTAAGCCACATATACCTCAGTAGCTAGCTTTTTAAGCTTATAAGCTAATAGTCGATAAATTCCCAGAATTCCACATGCTACCATGTTGAGCCGATATGCCAAATTAGATCCTCAATCTAGTATTTACACAAAACCAGACGCTCCCAACGTCGTGTATGGTTCACTCACTGAGGTCGGTTTGAGGCTACTCACATGAAATTGGAGTGATGTAGCTAATGCAATGTTGTCTAAGGCTCGGTCACGAATCGTGCATCACGCCAGGCTGGTTCTAGCACGCGCCGTTACGGTCGCAGTTCGCTACACTACCATCAGGCGACAGTTCAAGGATAAAGACGAGCAATCAGAGGCACCTGAAACCTCTGTTATCAATTATTCAACGGTGCAAATTCGTATCTTTCCGCTGCTTGCCACCGTGTTCGCTTTGCATTTCACAGGTCAGGCCATGAAGGAAACTTTCTTTTCTAACCGGGAGAGAATTGCGCAAAATGACTTTAGTGGAATGGCAGAGTTGCACAGCTTGTCATCTGGCCTCAAGAGCCTGTGCACTGACCTAGCAGCTAACGGTATTGAGACATGCAGGCGAGCAATGGGAGGACATGGGTACGGAGGCTACAGCGGGCTAGTACAACTCAATGCTGATTATTTGTCGAAGCCTACTGTTGAGGGGGATAACTGGATGATCACCCAGCAGGTAGCCCGATACCTCATGAAAGTCGCCAAGAAAACCACGGAGATGCAAGAGACTAAACAAGACACAAGAGCTGAGAGATTGCTCAAAAAGTACCAGGTGTCACAGAGTGGAGACAGCTTTAGCATCCTGAACGACCACTCTGCGCTGGCGGACGCTTTTGAACATCGAGCCGCTCGGATGGTAAGTCTAACCAGCATTGTGCGGCGCCACTGAGCTTACTATCATCTACAGACGTTCCGGGTCTATGAAGAGAAAGTCAAACAAGGCCGATCGGAGAACGAGATGCTTATAAAGATGCACCAGTTGTCCCATGGTGAGTTTTCGCTTCGTTTACGTAACTCGGCTATGTTAACCATTCGGTAGCTTATTCCTATTGTATTTTGATTCGAAACTTCCATGACCAGATAACCAACCTGCAGAATTTCGGACAGGAAACAATCGATGTGATGTGGGACTTGTACACGCTATTTGCTCTCTTCACGATGCAGAACAATGCTCTTGAGTTCATTCAAACTGGGACTGTATCACTCAATCAACTCAATGAGGTGCCGGATCGAATTTTCGAACTGATGAAGCGCATACGGCCCCATGCCGTTCGCTTAGTTGATGTGTGGGCTCTACCGGATTATCTCCTCGATAGGTAGGTTCTTCTTCAGTGCCATTTGCTACGTAAACGAACTAACGCAATGTGTTCGCTTAGCTCACTGGGTCGTTATGACGGTCGTGTATACGAGGACATGTTTCATCGCGCTCATGATCTCAATCCCTTAAACCGCATTACCGTCAACCCCGACTACAAGAATCCAGAACTTGTGCTAGGTTCCGGGGATGGTGATGCTATCCTTGCTAAATTGTAGACACACTTCGCGTGTTGTCATCAACAATGATGCGAAATGGAAACATCTAAACCGGCACTTAGAGAATTTTTAGAAATTCATTACGCGGGGACGGCTTGAAAAAGCGTCCCCATAAGTACCACCTGACGGCAGACAATAACTCGTATAAAAGCTGTTCCAAAGGTTTTAATGCATTCTTTTCCTATTTCTTTGACAAGCTTGCGGTAATATAGTACGGCACCTTGTTTAGACTTCCTTGAGAGTCCAGCTACCATCTTACAGCACTTTGGAGTATCTGTAAAATGGCCTATTCATTACCTATCTTGTCAAGTCTCTACGTGGGGGCATAATTTTGAAACGCTTCTGGTCTTTCAAATTACATTGACGACGTGTTATAGCGTAGTTGTTGCTAATACCTCAACGATAATCTGTTCTGCTAGGCCATTTCGGTGACCAATTTACGAAGAAAACTCCTCCAGGTCTCGTGCTTATATACTACTCGATTCTTGATGTGTACGCCTTGCAAGCATGTAGCAAACATGTACACTGCTCTAGAGGTATACCGAATCATCTTATTCTGCGAATTCTTATCACTTTCCATATTCAGACTAATAGTTGACTGAAGAAGATTTTAGAGCTTGGTCTGGCCGCCCTTGTGAGACCGCCAGACCTGAATATGCGGGTCGTTGAGCTCAGAGAAGAGTTGTTTACCTAAGACTCGTTTCACAACCTTCCCCGATGCACTTTTGGGAAACTCTTTGACCACTCGCAAAATTGTCGGTAGCTTGTATCCTGCCAGTCGTGATCGCAGATCAGCACGTAGCTTTTCTAATCGGAGGGATGACGCCTGACAATCCTGGTATTCACATTAGTCTTGCAGTATTTATGCACATATGTTTGAAGAACTTACGTCTCTTAGTATAATAGCGGCGGCCACTCTTTGTCCATATTCCTCATCAGCAACCCCGATGACCATGGCTTCGGTGACATAAGACAAATTAAGGAGCTCGCGCTCAATATCGAGAGCTGAAATCTTATATCCTCCAGATTTTATGACTACCGTCAATTAGCCAGGTGTTTGTTGAATCAGCATTGTGTGGTATTCGTTATACTCACTGTCAATCGAAGCTCGGCCAAGAATGAAATAGTAGTCGCCCTCGCGTCTGGCAATATCTCCAGTCTTGTAATAGCCATCCGGCGTAAAGGCGGCAGTAGTAGCTACCGGATCGTGTAGATATCTTGAGTACATCAGTTTTTCTCATCAGGAAAACGGCTTTGGGGAGTAAACGCACTCTCGGAACATATGTGGGCTTTTCACTAAGATCTCTCCCTCGCTCCCATTCGAGAGTTTGACCTCAAGCCCGAAGAACGGTTTCCCGACAGAGCCCTGCCAATTGCTTTTTAGTTTTGCTGAAATTATACCGCACGACAGATGGGGCAGGAGAAATCTTACGTCTGGATTATTCGAGTCGCCAGGTTTTACGCTGAAGACACTGCCAAACTCTGTTGCGCCATATCTCTCTAGTATTCGCTTACCGTCTAACAGCTTGATCCATTTGCTTTGAAGTGAGAATGGAAGCGCCGCACTTCCTGACATCATCAGACGAAACGATTTTGCAGCGCTCACATAGCCCTGAGTATCAGTCGGGGACATCTTCGAGATATTCTCCTCAAAATACTTCATCAGCCTCATATACATGGTCGGCACTCCGGAGAAAACAGTGAGACCGCCTTGCCGCCAACGCTCCCATATTTGATCTGGGTGAAACCCAGATGACTGAAACTCTATAGTAGAACCAGCAATCAAATATGGGAGGAAGCTGATGCTAATCCCCGTAGCATGGTGTACAGGGAGAGTATGCAAGACTACGTCGGTTTCTTGTAGATTGTACCATTGAGCAACGGCTTGCGCGTTTGTGTCAAGAAAAGATCGCTGCTTAACTGCGCCCTTAGGAGGACCGCTTGTGCCGGACGTGAATATGACCAACCCTGCGCCATGATAGTTGAGATGGTGATCTGACGAAATGATTATAGTGCTAGCAGAAACAGGTGGCTTGCAAATGTGTTGGAGGATCTCCATAGAGACGAAGTCAGGCACGCCTGATTCATGCATCGCACTAGCCAATCCTTCCCCAATTATTGAACACTTTGAAGAATATAATATGCCAACAGATCGTGAGGTTTTCGCAAAATACATGGCCTCGTGTACAGGAATTGAAGCCGCTACACCAGGGTTAGCACTTGACCACGACTATGAGAGATGAAATCAACGCGGCCTACAGATGGGAACTATTACTGCCCCCAACGCAAGTAATGCTAAAAAGGCTATAGCGAATTCATACCCTCCGGCTGCTAGTAAATTGACACAAATTTCCTCGCCTGCCAAAAGTCGGTTTCGCACCCTTGAGTCCAGCCGTGTCCAGAGGGCATTGCGCAGGTACAAGACGTCGGAAAGGAGCTGTTGATGCGTCGCCTGCAAACCATTGGTAGTATCGTTGATAACAAGCTTATCTCGATTGCTTGCGAAGAATAAGAGACGATTAAAAATGGGGAAATTAGGAAGGACATTGTCTCCAACGTGCTTTGGCAACGACTGCCCGCCAATGCTTTGACACAAATTCATAGCTCAATAAAGAGGGATGTTTACGGGTCAGACGCAACAATTTCTTCACTACTAACGCATTGCCATAATATCTATTGAATTTTAGAATGAGCGAAATAAGGGAAAAAAAGATCCATCCACTTGCATTCTTGGTTGGCTTGTGGCCGAGGAGGCGATCCGGCGATTTTTACGGTATGCTCGGCGTTTCGGTGTTTTAATCAAGTGCTTCGGACTAGATTCAATCCCAGAATTTTGGACCACCTTACGCCAAGTAAGTACTGTATTCGTACAAGTCGTAGTCTGCGTTCACGGTTTCTATGAGTACCTAGGTAGATGGACGCAAAGTTATACTCGCATATCAGTATTCACTTCCTTCAGAAAGACATATCGTTCCAATTAGGTGTCCTGTTCTTTTTATTTTTCCTCTTTCTAATGATAATCGTTGCCCCAAATCAATCACTCACGTCATGGATGTATCATCTTTTACGCCGCATATCCTTGAGAGTGTGCCGCATCCCACAAAACACAAAGTGCGCGAATTTCGAAGAAAGAGGGCTTCAATAGCATGCGTTGCTTGCCGAAGGAGGAAAGTAAGATGCGACGCGGCCGAACACGGTCTTCCTTGTTGCAATTGTGAGCTGGATCAAACAGAATGCAAAGTCCAAACAACTAGACGCAAGCGTTTCAAGCCCTGCTATCGTCAAATTGGTTCACTATCAAAAGATCCAAGTCATATGCCACCTACCCCGGTTCAATCGATAACAACACCTTCGAGCGATGAGACGCCGAACTTTTCAGCGCAACAGACATACTTGAATCAAACGAGCGAGCTCGACATCAACGGCCTTGTAGAAACAAGTCCGTGCACTTCCGATGACTTCAATGGACCTGAAGAGCCAGAGTGGCAGAGGCGGTTGAGTTCCTTGCCTCTCGGTGACATCACCAAGTTCGAGATACCTTTTCACAACTTGCAGTGTTTGAATTGTTCGACACCGTGCTATCAAAGATTCAACGATGTGTTAGATGGAATTCGGAAGGCCGTCGACTTGTTACACGAGGCCATGGCTATTCCAGCCCAAATCATGAAGAACTCGCAGGAAACAATACCCCCCGCTAGCAGTTTACCGAATAACAAACTAGACGGCTCTCAGAGAGTCACGGTCCAAGACTTGGATTGCAATGATTTGTCCGACAATACATTTATTTCCCAACTTCTTCAGAGTGGCGAAGATTGGGTATCTTCACGGTCAGCTGGTAGTCCATCTGTCTATATAGGAAACGAAGATCTCGATATGCTGGTTGATACACAAGGGCTAGAGGAGATAACAGACCCGACATAATCTCTTGGGAGATTATATAAATTTGTAATGGAATGATAGATTTTGCCTTCCTTTCCTGTTCGGAAAGTCGCTGTTGAAGATTTTTGCTTAGTACCCAGCATAATTAATATACATATATGTATGTGTGCGAGTGTGAGGTGTCTGAGACTTTGAAGATGGAAGTTGTCAATTATTTATTATTTATGAACTCCGATAGTTAATTATATATCAGCACTTTGAGAATACACTACGGTGGCCGATTGATCTCATTATACCAGTCAAAGGTAATAGAGCCATGTAACTGGGAAAAGTTACTATAACTTTCAAGGTTATAGACTACAAGTCATGTACCCCGGACTATGGGAATGGAAGGGCGTTTTATAGCGTCCGCTAGCTCGTGCTAGTTTTGCCCCGTGCAAAGCCAATGTGCATGCTCAACTCATCCCTGGAGCACTCGGGGCTATTACTTAATAGGCACCCCGCACTCCGCAAAACCCGTAACTCGCCCAACACATTAACATTACTTCTATTTTCTGCCTTGTCTTCCATAGAAATAAATGACAAACCAACATCAAGAGGTTAAGATGGGTCGAGGGGCCAAAGCTTGTAGTGCCTGTCATTGGAGAAAGGTACGTGGGCACCCCTATGCATTCATACATATGACGATAATCGACAACGAAGGCTAAATCTGGTTGCAGGTGAAGTGCGACGTTCAAGCTGAGCCACCATGTACCAATTGCCGGATATTTGGGGATGATTGCGTGTAAGGTTTAGTTATGATGGAGTGCAATTTCCAATGCTCATGTTGACGATGATAGGCCCCATCAGAGAAAGCGGAAAGGCGAGCTTCCGCAAACCATATACTTACCGCCTTCTAAGCGGAGCACCAATAACCAGACCCGTATCACGACCCCAATGCCAGCGCAAGAGCAACAACGGCGAAGCATATCAGCGCCATCGCTACTAACTTCGGCAGAGCCAAACGGAGCAGAGTCAGGAGATCCTCCACGGCCAAGCAATGCGAGTCCCGGAAGCTACCTCGGCCGCGCGGAATATGTCCAAGGGGTAGCTCCGATAGACGAGGAAGACGCGAAGGACTATGCTGATGAACCAAACAACGCCTTCTCTGAAGTAGATCAAAGGTATCTTCAAGAACTCGGAGCATTAGAATTGCCCACCCGCGTTCTTGGGGACAGTCTAGTTTCGCAGTTCATGGAGCGATGCTATCCGTGGATGCCTATCGTGAATCGATCAGAGTTCCAAAAGACAGACGACTTCGAACCTTCGTTACTACTCTTCCAATCTCTCTGCACTGCTGGCTGCAGGGTTTCAATGGCCCCAACAGCCCAGGAGGTTGGCCAGGCATTTTATCACAGAGCCAAAGCGTTGTATTATTCTGGGCATGAGAAGAATCCACTCGTAATCGTCCGCGCCATGTGCATGCTGCAATGGTGGAATCCTTCAGGGCCAGAGCATGTATCGATCGACTCCAGTAGCTTCTGGCTGCACATGACAGTTGGTCTGGCGCATCAGATTGGACTCCACCGGGAGCCAGACCGGGAGCAACCTCATGCAAGTTTGCGAAGGAGACTGTGGTGGACGATATTCGTAAGTAATTCGTTATTGGTTTTGCGAGCAAACAGCAAACCAGATATACTAACTCTGCCAACTCAAAAGTCTCGAGACTGTTTGATCTCCATGTGCCACGGACGGCCGCGGGCTATACATCCCGAAGGTTTTGATGTGAGGCCGCTAACGTTGAACGACTTCCCTGAACCTAATCTCGATGTCCACTTATTCCTGTCTTACGTTGACATATGTGGAATATTGGGCGATCTGACTGAAGCGATCGTTAGAGACATATTTGGTCGAGCAAATCGAGTGGCGATTGAAGCAAGGTTGTTGAACTGGAGTCGCCATTTGCACGAGGATCTGCGGATATACCACCAAGCTGGAAAATTGGCCTCATACAATTTTAAGGTTCGCCAGTTGTGGGTTGCGTACTTTACTGCTTTGGTGCTTTTGTTCCCAACAACAGCTCATGCGCCTTCCTCTATGGCGTTATTGGCCACATCCTTCATGGTGGCTATTTTCGAGGAGTTTCTGAACCGGGGCGAGTTGCCAATGCTGGCACCTGTATTCGTTTTCTATATGATGACTGCAGGTTTGGTCCAATCAACCGGTCTAAGATGCCTGAACCTCGAGGTTGAGACGCGCCATGAGTTGGATATTATCCATCAATGTTTGGCAGAAATGGGGAAGAGATACCCGTCAGCCACCGGCGCGCGAAGGGTTATCCGCGCTGTTTGTCAGGCTGCTACCAAGCAAGACAAACAGACTGGGCTATTGATTTATACAATAGATGACAACCAGCGGCAATACCTAGAGCAATTAGGACCGGAGCTGTGTCCCAAGTGGGATGCGATTCACCGTATGTGTCAGGACGCAGGGGAGACCACTGCTAGGCAGAGAACAGCGATCAAACGCCCACGTCTCATAGCAACAGGGGCTCAGAGAGGAATACCTGAAGATGGGTTTGAAGATGTGGGGCGACTGGCGACGGAATTTGATCCAAACCCGGTGCTTGAAACAGATAATATGCCGCCCTCATTGGCAATAGACCCTCAGCAAGAGGTATTAGATACACATGAATATTTTATGGAAGGCATGGACGGTTTTGGAAATATGGCATCATTAGGAAATTGGATGCTAGGCACATGGGTAGGAGGGATGGTGGATGTGGCCTCGCTAAATGCTTTCAACAGCTAAACATGCACAAGAACAGTGGTACCTTACCGGGGAACTTGCTTCGTACAATAACGGCATTTTGATGAAATGAACGACAGAGAAAACTATAAATATATAACACATCGAATACAGTTACTGAATTTCCTTACCAACTTGTAACTCTTTATAGATGTACTTAAAGTAATATTCCCTGATTTACTCATCTGCCTTGTATTTACATTAGGGCTAAATAGAAAGTGCTATCGTAGCACATAGTACCCGATAATGATATTAAATAAGATGGTATGCATTAGATTTACTTCAAGCCCCTTTTTTGCCTCTAAATTCGTATCTGAGTGCCACCATACCCAATGAGATTCTTCTCATGAGATACCAGAAACACCAGATCCGGGCAGGTCATATATTTGCCATTTGGAGTCAAGGGATATTCAACCTTTTCTTTGGCACATCATCGCCGAAAGCAAATATGACCTTCTGAATTTTGCCTTTCTCGAATTGCCTATATGCCTCCTGGGCATCTTCTACGGAAATGATATTGTCACACATGAAACTGCTTCGCTTTAAGTATCGAGTCTGCTCAATATAAGAAGTAATCCATGCGACTTACCCCAATAGATGTTGCGTCTTTTTCAACACCTCAAGCGCTGGAGGGAAAACGGCACGAACCGGACAACGGCCCATTTGCAATCGTAAGTTCTTGTGATACGCCTCATTTCCAGTCCACGGAACCTAGTGCCTAATGATCAGAATAGAATAACCCCGGCAGACGAGGGTGATTGACATACCTCTCCATAATGTACACCAATACTACTGATAACACCCCAAGGTCGCAGTATATCAAACGCTAGCCTCAACGCCTGACTCTGGCCCACAATTTCAAGCGCAACATCGATTCCTCTTCCTTCAGTGACTTCAAACACGCGCTTCTTCAGGCCTTCAAGATCAGTAGCAAAGTTCAGCGGCTCAGCGCCCAGTTGTTTTGCTCTCTCGAGGCGGTCAGGGATAGAGTCAATGGCAAATAGATGTCTCGGTTTGAATTGGAGAGCTGATACTATGGCGCACAGGCCTACAGAGTGGCAGTTGCGTGGTCAATAAACAGTCGTTTGAGTGATTCTAAGCTGCGATGAGTCTTACCAACCGGACCACAGCCGACCACAGCCACGACTGCGTCCTTTCTCTCCGTGTCTTTCAGCAAAGCATAGCCATTACTGGCGGCAAAGTATCCAGTAGGTAATATATCAGCCATCAAAACGAGAAGCTTCTCATCGATTTCTGGCGGAGCTAGGACGGCAGTACTATCTGCCAAGGGGATCCGCACCTAACTGATACGTCAGGCATAACTGAAGATCATAACATAGAGATGACATGGCAGAAAGCCAGAGACAAGGACTTACATATTCAGCCTGGGCTCCATCTAAGACTGTGGTACCAATCAATGCAACCTTGACGCAACGGGAGGTTAAGCCACGAGTGCAGTAGAAGCATTCCCCGCTAAGTTCACTCAATATTAGAACTTCTCTCATGTAGTTGGTCCAAAATGGCTAAATGTTATGGGTGTGACAGACCACTGTATCGAGAAAGGGCATGTAATCTTATCCCCAGCATTGAACAACCTTATATCAACCCCGACTTGTGTAACAATGCCGCTAAACTCATGTCCCAAAATGAAACCACTCGGGACCTCGTGATGGCCACGATACATGTGCAATTCGCTGCTCGACGCGATCAGCTTTGCAAAAAAAGATGTAGCTGTAAAGCTACCTCATGGGTTACAAGGAACACGTACGTTCCACAAAGCCCAGCATATTGCACTTTGACAATAATGTCTCTGGAATCCTCAATTTGAGGCAAGGGCCGATCCTCCACACTGACGTCGTATTTCCCGTTGAACACAACTGCACGCATTGTCGCCATGTCGTATCAACTTTGACAACGTATAATTTTTGTTCTGCACTTGGAGAAGAGAGTGATATCGGAGGGGTTTACACAAGATCGTTATCCATTGATGCGACGAATGACCTTTAGTAAACACAATAGGACTCATCTATTCCGTCTACAGAATAATCCAACGCTATTTGGACTTGTTTGTACAGGCATCGCCTCCAACCCTGCAATCGCCGAGCGGGGGATCACTCGGTGATTTTGAGTTTTGTGGCGCCCACTAGCTCGACAACGAAAGTACCGTCGAGAGTTATCGCCGACGTCATTTGATCGAATTAATCGGAGTTAGCATCATATTGCTCTCGTCGTTAACGGAGCCATTGGGTATGCTTTGAGCTTGAAATGTGTGCTTCTCGAGTAAGGAAAGGTTGAGTAGTCTATTTATCGTCATCAATTATTCGTCTATACTAGAACTCCATATACCTCTGCTTTACAGAAACAGTCGTCCACAATGGAGTCTATTTTTCTCAAACATTTTGAATACACTGTAAGTAGATGTTGAGAGTACTCTGGATGTTTTAAAAACTTGACTGACGTATGAAATAAAACCACCAGTTTGAGGATCCGTCTTTAGTTGACAATCGCTGTTTCGTCAATGGGCAATGGATTTCCGCTGCTAGTAAAAACAGCTTTCCTGTACATGGTGAGCACAGATCGTAATCCATCAGCAGCTTCTGCAATGTTATTGCCCTTCTCCATGCTAACGTTGACCAAGATCCCGTCGATGATGCAGTGGTATGCCTCGTACCTGATCTATCCGTTGCAGAAGTCCGGGACGCCATTAAGGCTGCTGAAGATGCCTTCCAAATCTTTCGCAAGGTTCCGCACCGTGACCGTCGCTTCATGCTGCGTCGTTGGGGAGATCTCATCAAGGAGGCACAGAATGATCTAGCAGCACTATGCACAATTGAGCTTGGCAAGCCGTTTAGCGAATCGCTTGGTACCGTGGCATATGCGATAGATTACCTTGATTGGTTCGAGTCTGAATGCGAACGCGTCTACGGCGAGACGATTCCAGCCTACCGCAGGGGCACGCGCATCATGACCGTTAGAGAACCTCAAGGCGTTGTTGCCGCCATTACCCCCTGGAACTCACCGGTGGCAATGATCACTCGAAAAGCTGGAGCCGCAATTGCTGCTGGCAACGTCGTGGTTCTAAAACCTGCCCCAGAGACTCCGCTTTGTGCCATTGCCATGGCCAAGTTATTCGAGCGCGCCGGGTTTCCCGCCGGCGTTCTCAGCGTAATCACTTGTAGCCCAGAGTCGACGCCAACCATCGGAGAGGAACTCTGCAACAACAAGCTAGTCAAGCACCTCAGTTTCACCGGCTCGACAGCAGTGGGCAAGATTCTCAACACACAATGCGCACGCCATATCAAGAAGACGAGCCTGGAATTGGGTGGCAACGCACCGTTTATCGTGTTTGAAGATGCCAATATAGACAGCGCAGTGGATGGCATGATTTTGTCCAAGTTCCGGTCGTCTGGACAGACATGCGTTTGTGCAAATCGCATATTTATCCACGAGCTAATATATGACGAGTTCGCCAACCGGCTCAAAACTCGAGTTGCCGAGACAATTCACCCTTCAGCCTCCGTTTGGGATTCAAAGTCGAATTTCGGACCGCTGTATGCCAGTAAAGGGGTGGAGAAGGTGCAACGGCATGTGGACGATGCAGTGAGTCGAGGAGCGAAAGTAATTCTCGGAGGCAGAGCCGACCGCAGCTACGGACCAAACTTCTATCCTCCAACTATCATCACTGGATCAAAGTCGGACATGTTGTTCTGTCAGGAAGAGACATTTGGCCCAGTGGCATGTCTGATACCTTTCTCCACCCAGGAAGAAGTCATTCGTATGGCAAATGATACCGATGTTGGTCTAGCAGGGTATTTGTTCACAGAAAACATCAACACATTGTGGGAAGTTGCGGAAGCACTTCAGGTTGGCATGGTAGGATGTCGCGTTGGTCTGGTGAGTGCTTGTGAGCAGCCATTCAGTGGTGTCAAGGAGAGCGGATTAGGCATTGAAGGTTCTAGCCATGCGTTGAAAGAATACACTAATATGAAGAGTATTACTCTCGGTGGGTTATGAATACTAAAAGGTAGCGGTATACATTATGTTGTAATAAACGCAACTAAATTACACTGAGATTTAGCTAGGTATTCAGATATAAGTCATTTTATATTATAATTCTTATAGTAATAGCTGTGTAATAAACTGGCTGTCTTTTGTTATGTTTAGTGTTTGCCTACCTAGTTTAAAGGTGCATCCTCTAGTGCGTTCTCCATAGCTGTTAAAAAACTGCTGATTTTTTTTTTTGCCAGTTCAATTTGGCTTGGAGACAAGCCCCGGGCCGGAGTGGCGAGTTAGGTAATGCATTACGAGAACATGGAACCTTCCTTTCCAGAAAAAGGTATAGTGAAAACAGGTAACTAGCAATAGCTTAGCTTATTTTTTGAATCACTAACTCGAAAAACCTTGCGTTCTACAGAAAACGCGCTGGTTCTTGTGACTAAGGTATTTGGAATAAATTGGTAGCAGTAACAGTTATATATTCATTTGGATCATTATAAGTATAATTCAGATAGTGGGTTATATAAAGTCAACTGGCTTTTCTCCGTGCTACAATATTAAATAATTAAAGTGCATGAATATTATAGGGTATTTTGATTTGCGGGGTACGCTCCTGCCTTGGAAGATGACTAAGGCTGCTAAGAACTCTCGGGTGCGTGGGAAGTTTGAATGAAGTGTACAGCTGAGAGACTACACTGGCTTCGTCCACCCAACCAAATCTACTTCCCCCCATTGGCCTCAGTTTAGCCAGCTCCTACATTCAGTCCCCTTAATGATTGCCAATCGAAGGATGGCCTGCACTGCCTGCAGGCAGAGCAAGGTAATACACCTTTCTCAACTCATAAGCTTCATGCATAGACAGTCATAACACGATCCTAGTCTCGCTGCGAGAAAGGGGATGACCGCTGTAGGCGATGCGAGAAACACGGCTTGTTGTGCAAAGAGGATCCCCATTTTCACAGAAATAACAAGAATAGGCGAGTAGCTCGATAATTGTCATTCACGATCAGTTTATAATTGGGGTATCCAGACGATTTGACGAATTGGAAAAGCGCCTTGAAGTATTCATGAATGCTCTTGAGCATTCACAGCAAGGAGGCTTGACGGCACCAACACCCCAAGATAGACCACAAGTGGAAAATTCACCGCTTATATCAGATTGTCAAAGAGGCATGCCACAGGTGGTGCGTGAAGCTATTGACCCGTCTCTACAGCCTTCGCAATCCTCGGCAAGCGATTTCTTGCCGCTGAATGATCGTCGTGCATTGCCTTCAGTATCATCCCCCATTTCCGTCGATGCAATATCTCGTTGCATAGGAGCTGTTCGGCTCAAAAATACCCACATCAATGAGCTATTCAACATGTATGTTTTATTTGATGGCCGAACACTTCCGCGGTCTTGCGCGGCTAACCACGAGCAGATTCTTTACCTCGTATCACCCCTTCCTCCCCTTTCTTGACCCTGAGCAGACACCCGATGACTATTTATCCAAGTCATCGTTGTTGTTTTGGACTATAGTGAGCGTTGCTGCGCGTCGTTATGAGCGCGACGTCAGTCTATTGAGGAAGTTATCCAGCTGTGTCACAAAGCTTGCTTGGGAAGCGATTGCCACACGAGGGAACCAACTCACTACCATACAATCACTGCTGCTTTTATGCACTTGGCCTTTCCCAACGTGTTCACTATTGCTTGAAAATACGCCAGTATGGGGTGACATTGCATTGACCATGGCCACTCAGTTGGGTCTATACCAACCGGATCAACCTGGCTATTTCTCTCGGTTAAACTGCAGTTCTACAGTACCTCTTCAAACTGAGAAGATCCGAACCTGGCTCGCCTGTACTATAGTAGCTCATAAGTCAGTGACACAACGTGAGTTTTGTCTTGAACTACAGCTAACTTTGACCAGCAACGCAGCGGGATATGGATCGCTTCCTACAACACTATCCAATTTGGCTCTTACAGGACTAACTAGAGACGAGTATTTTCCACGCATTCCACAGCCACTGATATATCAAAGCGAACTACAGGGGTTCTTTGGTAAAGCTACAAGAACAATGTTCGACAACCCAGCAGAGATTGAGGGATCAGAGCCGACGAATGTTGGTCCCTTTGTCAGAGTTCTGGAGGCTGATCTTGAAAACGTCTTCCAGGGGATGGATGGAACTTCTGGTAAGACAATTGATCCTCATTAGTTCCTCAGTTGGACTCACAAATGAACAGACTTTACTCGTCTTCACTATATGTCGGTGAAGCTGTTTTTGCTGGTCCAGCACTTTTTCGATCCCAATTCTCCCGAGAGAAGACTCGCCATACTAGAAGCATATAATTTTGCGACTACTTTTATCACCTTTGTTATTGAAGCGGACATTAGAATAAGCCTTTTTGCGTATATTCCAGTTCACGTATTCCGAATGCTATTTACCGCCGCGGGTGCCGTGTTTAAAGTCCTTGGCTCGTCTTACAGCTTGGATGTTGACACGGAGTTGGGAAGTGCCACTATAAACCAGGCTATAAGGGCCATGAGAAAATGTTCGGTGGAAAATAACGACGTTGCAGGACGGCATGCCGAGATTATGCGCCAGCTTTGGTTGAGCACAGATACCGTCAGCACGCCTGGTTGTTGGCAGCCTCCATCCTTGGCTCATCGAAGCCGGTTTGGGGCCAGCTTAGCATATGACTGTCTCTTCTACTGGAGAGACAATGTTGGAGGACAACGGAGTATTGGTTTAAACTCATCCGCGACGAGTTCGTATGCCCCCGGTAACCATTGGTTACTGTTTGCTGATCGCTGGATCTTGCTTCGTGGAATCCCACTAATCATCGTGCTGCAAAGTCCCAATAGGATCAGACGCGGTGTCGGAGGCAGCTTCTGCAACTGCAGAACATGTTCTGAGCTCAAATGCACCTGAGCTGCAAGATCAAATCGACATGGACTGGGCGAGTTTCGCATGGGCGTCAGGAATGGATCTGACTGCAGATGGATTTAATTTCGATATTTGATGTGATTCATGGAATTTGGAAGAAGTTCTAAGGATTGTTAGTTTGGGATCTCCGCCATGTAGGAAGAATCAGGCCTGATCAAATGTCATGTTTAACGTGTGATCCCCATTGTACTGTAAACGTTGCATTCCCAACAGATTCTAGATTCAACCAAAGGGTATGGATACAACCCATATTAACAGTCGTTATTGTGTTATAATGAGCAATATCTGGAGCATAAAGCAGTGAGTTAAGGCGGACACTCATCGTAATGCGTAGTCCAAATGTAAGCAGCGATAAGGTGTAATTAACCGTGAAGGTGAACAATGGTTAGGAGGTTGCTCCCTTCAACTATGTTTCGGGTCAAAATTGAACGAAGCGAATGACGGCTGCTTGATTTTGTAACTCGGAGCGGAGCGGCCCTCGAGGACAACGTGATGGCCATTTAGCGCCGCTTCGCTCCGGATACCATCCTACTCGCTCCGGATACTTCGAGACACAATTTAGGCGACGGCAAAATAAACGTCAAGTGGTGTGGATATTCGTGGAAGAAGATGCAAAGTTTGAGGGTGGATATTGAAGTATGGGCAAGAAGTAAACGAATATATATTACAAAGTGCCATCGTCAATGACGAAAGTTGGGTCTCGTGTCATCCTTTAACGACTTGATAAGCATACCCAGTGCAAAGAATCGGCTTTCAGTTTCAATTTATTTTACGTCTGTATTATCAACATGACAAGTCTTTCATACGATGTAATTGTGGTCGGCGGCGGCAACGCAGCCCTTGTTGCTGCTCTCTCTGCTCACGAAGCTGGCGCCAGAACCGCCATCCTCGAAGCAGCTCCCAAAGCTTACCGTGGCGGAAATAGTCGTTTTGCGTCTGCTGCATTCAGGATCGTCCATAATGGCATGCAGGATATTGAGCCGCTGATTCACCCGGATTGGAAATATCTGGCCAAGCGTGCAAGGCTCGTGCCCTTCACCAAAGAGCGATATGCAAATGAGATGTTAGAGAATTCTCGCGGTCACTGCGATAAAGAGGCAATGCATGTCATGTTTGATCATTCGTATGACACTGTAAAGTGGATGCGCGATCAGGGAGTGCGATGGAAGCTTGCACTCAGCAAGTTTTTCAGCGAAGATCAAATCACACAAGACGTTGTGGACATCAACCCCGGGCTTTGTTTAATTGCCGATAACGAAGGCATTGGTCTGACCGACAATCTCTGGGCGGCTGTAGAGAAGAGTTCTATTGATTCTCACTACTCTTCTCCTGCTTATGATCTCATTACCAATGGCGACAACATTCTCGGAGTTCGCGCGCGCCAAAAGGACGGCTTTGTCGATTTCAAGGGCCAGGTCATTCTCGCATGTGGTGGTTTCGAGGCATCGCCCCGCCTTCGTCGTCAGTATCTTGGGCAGGGGTGGGATCTTGCTAAAGTCCGTGGATGCCGCTATAATACGGGCACCATGATTGAGAACGCCATCTCCCACGGAGCACAAGCTACAGGTCACTGGGGCGGTTGTCACGCTGTTCCCGTTGACCACAATGCCCCCGCGGTTGGCGATCTCAGGCTGACTGACAAAACGAGCCGATACTCTTATCCGTTTGCCGTAATGGTCAATAAAGATGGACAGAGATTTGTGAACGAGGGCGAGAACACGTTTGAACTCACTTATGCTGCCATCGGAGAGCAGATTGCAAAGCAGAAAGAGGCTGTCGCATTCCAGATCTTCGACCAGAAAGTCCTCAAGACTTTGGAGCCGCGTTACTCGACCGCCACACCTGTGGTTGATGATACTTTGGAGGGGCTTGCTCAAAAGCTTGGCCTGAATGTAAAGCAGTTTGTTGATACGGTCCGAGAATTCAACGCCGCAGTGCCAAAGACGGGCCAGTTCGACCCCTTCCACTTGGATGGTCTGTCCACAGGATCAAAGCTGGCTATCCCCAAGACTAATTGGGCCCAGGCGATTGACCAAGGCCCTTTCGTTGCATTTGCTGTTACATGTGGTAAGTTTATGGTCCATTTGTGAGTCTCTAAATAATGCATGTTACTTTTTCTTACCAATCTGAATCAGGCATTACGTTTACATACGGCGGCCTAAAGACCGATCCCTGCGCTCACGTTCTTAACAATGAAGGAGAAAAGATGCCTGGTCTCTGGGCCGTCGGTGAGATCAGCGGAGGTTTCTTCGCATTCAACTATCCTGGCGCTGCTGGTCTAGTCAAGGGCGCAGTGTTTGGCCGACTGGCTGGTAAAGCTGCGGCGAGAAGGGCAAAAGATCAGAATAGGGCCTAGGTGGTAAATATTATCCAATGGACATCGAGACTGTAAAGAAGTGCCATTAGTTTAGATGACTTTATAAATGGTTCATAGATCTCTGAGAAACAAAAGATCGATAACAAAAAGAAAGCTTGTCGCCTTTTTTATATCACAAAGAGGGCTGATTGAAACAGGCTAGTATACTTCATCCGAGATCTTCTGCTCTGAGCGAGCAGCTCGTAATCTTGAGCCAGCTTCATTATAGACCAGAGACGGAATTTAGCGACACCACCATATCATACTATACATCATTCGTATCTACACGAAATTCTCAATAGCATTTCTTCAATTCTTCGCGAATTATAACCCTTTTATCATTTAGACGACTAAATTTAATATCACTAATATTCATACTTCTCTTCAAGCTCCCAACGCTTGTTGAAGTCAACAGCTTCACATACTTCTTCGATAGGTATGATACGTGGAGGTGCCCCAGCTATGAAACTCACTTTCAAAGACTCCAATGCCTCCCTTACAGCCTCGACTCTAGCTGCTACCATTGTAAAGGGATATACCACTATCGAGAAGCCAAGTTTTCCAAGCTCTTCAGCTGAGACATTATCTGTCAAGCCGCCTTCAATGATGTTAGCCATGATGGGGAAGTTAAGGGCCTCGACCGTCTTCTCCATAGTCTCTCTATCTGGAAGAGCCTCTACGAAAACCATGCCTGCTCTAATCTCAACGAACTTCTTTGCTCGATAAACTGCCTCATCCCATCCGAGGATATAAGAATCTGTGCGAGCGATGATAACGATGTCGACTCCTTCATTGCGGGCGTCCACAGCCGCTTGGATCTGTACGAACGCCTCGTCCCTGGACACCACACGTGTCCCTTTAGTATGGCCACATCGCTTCGGCCAAGTCTGGTCCTCGATCATAATACCCGCTGCGCCCGCCATAGCAAACCCTTGGACTGTGCGCCTAACATTTACGGGAGAACCATATCCAGTATCTTCATCTGCAATGATAGGAACCGTAGTTTGCCGCTTGACTACTTGAATACGGCTGACCATTTCTTGGAAGGCAATGTATCCCTTTTATCTTGTTAGCATAGCAGCCTCACTTTCATCACACATGAGAATTGTGAACTCATAGTATCCCGTAACCCAAAGCTAGACGCGACCATAAATCCACCTAAAAATATGTACGGGAACCCAGCTTCTTCAACGAGGCGCGACCCTAGTCCATCGTCAGAACAACGGGTAGCGAGAATCTTGCTTGGGTCTGAGTATGCTTCGCAAATCATAGCCCGAAGCTGCGATGCTTGGAAAGAAGATATTCGCCCCCTTGAATGAGGATTAGACTCCGCCTCTCTCTTTAGCTCATGTTTTGAAGGGGACGTGCTGTTGAATTGGAATGGATAAGGCTTCATGTTGGGCAATGACCTTTCAATTTTGTAGCCGGCTGAAATCTACGTTCTGCAATTGACTAGACGACTTCACTGACAAGGTTCGCAAACATCGTCCTCATGAATTCCTTCACATAAATTAGATACGATTAATCGGGTATTTCTATGGTCACACATATGCCGAGGATAACCAGGAGGATTGCAATTTCGATTCCACCTAGCGTCTTCATCTCTATTGTATAAAACGCCCAACGGACTGGGCAAGAAGGCCTGGTAGATCCATCTTCTTCTTCATCAGAGGGATCTCTATTCCACATACATACGACAACTTATTCTTCGAAGTGGTTGTTTCAACCACATTCTCGTTGCCTCTTGTTACCAACTATGACAGTAGAATTCAACTCTCCTGGTGATATGGAATCCCAAGTCCAAGATGCGACTAATGTTAAACGAAATCGGCCTACAGCTGGTCAATACATTACGACCAGGCTGACAACGCTGAAGCCTCCTATGAACAAGACTCCTAATCCTCTCAAGTTACTATTCCTGTTAAACAAACAACAATGGCTATTCTTTCTCGTTGGGTTCGCCGGCTGGACTTGGGATGCCTTTGACTTCTTCACGGTCCCTTTGACAGTCACAGAGATTGCTCAATCTTACAACAAGACTAATGCAGACATTACTTGGGGTATCACTCTTGTTCTCATGTTCAGGTCTATTGGAGCGGCCATCTTCGGAGTTGCAGCAGACAGATACGAAAGAAAATGGTAAGAAACTTGACTAGATCTTAACCACCGTATGAAGATGTCTCTGACCACTAATTCTCGACTCTTATAGGCCCTTCATTATCAATAACGTCCTTTTTGTCGTGTTCGAAATGGCTACCGGATTCTGTCAGACGTATGTTCAATTCCTAGTGGTCAGAGCACTATACGGCGTTGTAATGGGCGGCCTATATGGAAATGCCGCTGCCACTGCTCTGGAAGACTGTCCTCCGGCCGCACGCGGTCTCTTTTCCGTTATACTCCAGCAAGGTTATGCGTTTGGATATCTCCTCGCGACTGCCTTTTCGAGAGCTTTAGTCGATACGACTCCTCATGGCTGGAGGTCGCTATACTGGTTTGGGGCGGGCCCTCCTGTCCTCATCATTATTCTGAGGTTATGTCTCCCTGAGACGGAGACCTTTGTGGAACGTAAAAGAATTCGAGAGCAACAGCCTTCTGCTGCACAAACGTTCATCAAGGAAGGAGAAATAGCTGTGAAGCAACACTGGATACTCTTGATCTACCTTGTATTGCTTATGGCAGGGCTCAACTTTTTAGTAAGTGGGATTGCAGATAACAGAATAGTAGCTTGACTAACTTATTATAACCAGGCACATGGGACACAAGATCTATATCCGACATTGTTGAAGAATCAATACAATTTCTCAACTACCACGGTAACTATTGTGCAAGTCATTTCCAACGTCGGAGCCATTATCGGAGGTACGATCATTGGTTACTGCTCCTAAATATTTGGACGAAGACTCAGTATGCTCTGTATGTTTGTGTTGGGAGCTGCGTTGCTATATCCTTACACATTTATCCACACGAAGGCTATCATTGCAGCAGCATTTTTCCAGCAATTCGCCATTCAAGGCGCCTGTGGCGTCGTACCAATTCACTTAATGGAGCTCTCTCCCGCAGCTCTCCGAACCTTTGTTGTGAGTACCTCGTATCAGTTGGGCAATCTTGCTTCGTCTGCTTCATCAACTATTGAGGCGACTATTGGACAAAGGTTTCCTCTGGGTGAGCCTACGAGGTTCAACAGCAATATGAGACATCAGTATAATTATGGTAAAGTGATTTGCACATTTGCTGCATGTGCATATGCATTTCTCTTTATTATCGTATTTATCGGGCCAGAGAAATTGGGCATTGATCTTTCTCTGCAACATAATGCAAACATCACAGAGGCTATTCAAGGGAACTTGCAAGAATTCAACGGTGCAGGGAATAACACTGAATTGGATAAACAGCATGGAGAACATATTGAGTTCTCAAATACTTAATGGGTATTAATAATACATTATGTATTAATATTAATATTGCTCCTGTGTAACAAAGACGAACTACTTAGAAGAACCAGTATTGAAAGAATCGTTCTATTGCCTTGAATTGGCTGCTTTATTAGTTGTTTCAATTATTGTAGTCAAAACCAATGCAACAGCTTTCCTTTGTAGCCTTTGCTAGCTTCAATTCGCAATTTACACATTATTCTTTTTAAGTCAATCGTACTTTTAGAAACTGGTTACTTCCCTATGCTACTTAGTCTAACGAAGTATTATCTTCTGTATTTCCATTCCCTCCAGCCAGGGCTGACATACACTCAGAAATAACATCATGCCTACATAATATTAGAAACCACAAACTTTTGCAGCAAATAATTTAGGATTAGCAGAAATCGACTGACCCATAAATAAACAAATGTCGAGACGTGCCATCGAGCACTTGTACGTGGCTTGGTAGCCATTTATCCAAGACATTTTTCTCTTGATATTCTGTTCCACGTTTGATCCGCGACAGAACTTGAACAGCTCCTGCCCTTTTACAACTAAGGTTTTGAAATTTTGCAATTCGGTCTAGAATTTCGTCTTTTGATTTGATGTTCCCAAAAAGCTTTTCCAAGGCACCTGCATCTTCAATGGCTAGATTTACACCTTGCCCAGATTGAACAGAGTGTACCTTTGATCGGAGATGGTGTTAGCGAAAGACTTGCATCGAAATCCTAAATCTTGAAAGAGAGAGCCCTACTAGCGCTGCTGCCAAATCAAATATATTTGTCAAATCTATTAATTAATTAATTAAATCATTCCAAAATGCCTAATCCATCATTTAAATCTTTAAGACCAACCTAACCCCAACGCCGACTCCTAATTTCGAAAGGAAAAAAAGCATGTTAGTCAGTCTGAAGCTTTCCAGGTTCACGTCGATGCAGGTGTGGCCTTTGCTGATGGCGTCTTGCCAGCTGGACAGGATCTTCCCGTTCTTAATAGCTTTGATGCCTAATCATTCTAGACGCTGAAACACAGAATTATCTTTCTTCTTGGGATAGTGGTCGTAGAGTTTAGTATACTAATTCATACACAAAAACAGTTGCTAAGTGAATGAAACCCCTGATAGTGTTACCGATAGTTCACAACCCCTTCTGGGTTCCTTGTGGAGGCGGAGCCTACAACTGACCTAGAGAGGCGCTTGGAAATCGGTTAATGTTCATCTCAACAGCAACTGTGCCAAGAGGGCTCCGCATAAAGCTTCGGAAACCTGCCAGGAACAATCATACTGGGCCAAAGCCTAGAATTCTTCCCTTTAGGCCTATGCATCTGAGCGAAGCGCCAGCCGCCACTAGTGCCTCCACCTAGCTGAGCTCACTTCCAATCGCTTCCTGTCTGACCCTTGTCTCAGCTCCCACGCTGAGCCATACCACCACTCTGTCTTCTCTCCTACCAGCAACATCACGTCGCCCGGTTCTCCCGCATTTAATAGTTTGCAGTGATGGCTGCAGCAGCTGAAGTTACACTATCGGTTCATCAGCTCTCTTGTTTCACCTCTAGGAAAGAGAGGATCGCTCAGTTTGGACACATCACTGCGGTTGGGTAGTCTCAAAAGCCTGCGATTGGGCCAAGGCAGCAAATGGTGGCACTGGCTGCTAATCACCATCCAAGTCACCGAACTGAACATATAAAGTGTATATATAGGCTGCTTATTATATACGTTGTGATCTGGGCACTCTCTTATCACCAACTCTTTCCTGAAGGGTTCTCTCCTCTATTTATCTGAACAGGCAAACAGAGTTATAAATAATGTATAGTTGGCGTGGTGGAAGACCCACTGCCTTCACACATCATCGACAACGCACGCCACAAACAGTGGTGTGCATCGAGCAGAGATGGGTCAGCCACATCCAAGCGCAGTGCCAATGCTATGGCCGTATCACACACGCCTGACCTTGGTCTTGGTGGCATTGGCGTGTCTAGTCGCTGGTGCTGCCGCCTCATGCACTGGATATTCGGACAGTTGTGCCTCCAACCCGATTCCGCACAATCGGTTTACTGCCGTCAACTATCACGTTGATACGTGCAACCTTAAGTGGACGCGAGGATGCGCCGTCTTGGGTAAAAAAGCATGGAGCAGAAACCACCGCCCTTCTCTCTCTGGTATGGTAAGCACAGACCTGAAGGGCTGCTACCTACCGACGGCTACACGCTGGCGTTGCAGCAGAATAACTTCGCTCCAGGCTCACCTAAAGTCACGCTGCACGGACTATGGCCAAGCTCTATAGGTGGGAGCGGAGATAAGAATCAGCCCTATAGCTGTAAGCATGGTTCAGAATTCGACGAATCGTACCTCGAAATCTTTGGAGCCCTGTTGCGTTACTATTGGCCGACCGACTCCAAGTACAACAACACCATGCAGTGTTTCATCCTGTCCGAGTGGATGAAGCACGGCATGTGTGCCGTCATACCTGGTGCTGACGGGAGCGCTTTTCGCCTGCCACAAGAAGCATACTACCGCACGGCTTTTGTGCTGACCAATGAGTACAACGCCAACCCGGCTCTGCGAAGACGGCTGCAGGATATAGAACCGATCATCAGTGCCAGCTGCGTGCAATGTGCGTATCTCGCCACAATCGGATGGACGGAAAGCACGGTGAATAGCGTTCCCAGGATGTCCCGCGAATGTATTGATCAATGCTTTGCATGCGGTGACTCCTGGGCCAACTGCCCTCCCGCCAATCTCGACAGCACTGTCTTGCTTGATCCCGCCAACCACCCATGCCAATCCAGAATTATAGTATTCCTACTGTTGGGTTTGGGATGCCAGAGTTGTCAAGCGATACAATCTCCCCCTGGCAGGGCACATGGCGTTCGTTTGGAACTGAGCAGCACGGGTCTGGCAAGTTCGAATTCGCTCAGACTTTTACGGAGGACACTCTGACTATCACCACTGACAGCCCTTATCCCTAAACATGCGCTTACGAGCCTCGATCCGACTGACAAATTGTATTGAAAAACTGTGGTACGAATCATCACTTGGAAGACTGTCTGATTAAGCGACTGCCAAACATCAGTGGCCTCGAGGTGGCTTTCTTCGCGTGTAATCACACCGGCGCCCCGGCACCCGTCGACTTTTACGCCGCAATGGACACTCCTAACTGTGGTAACTTCCTCATGTTTCGCTGTAAGTCATCTTCGGCCCCGTGTTGTGTCTTCTCTCCCAACATCAACCCTGCCGCCGCTCCACTGCAGCACTCAGCGGTCAGCAAGGCGTCTAAGCTCAGCTCTCTGAGCCCATATCAGCCGGGCATTGCCGGAGTACCTTTGGCGCTGCTGGGCATATGGCGCTCACTCCAAGTATCCAACCACTACCAAGAGAGACTGGCTCGATGGAACTTCACTGCCAATGGCCAGGCATCGTTGGAATGGCCGAATTACCCAAGTCGCGGAGTGCAGCGCTACGTAGTCACCCATTCAGACGATGGTCGCAATACAATATTCCTCGCCAGTACCAGTGGCAGCATCTCCACCTGCCACTTCCAGTTCCAATATCATCCTGTATATTCCTACGCTACCATTCGTTGCGGAGCGCTGAATCGACTGGCGCCAGATGATTTGGCAGAAAGCTTCCTCCCGCCGCACACGCAATGGGCTATAGGTCGTTGCAACCCATGCAGCTTACACTGTTCCTACTCCTGTGGCCCTGAGAACGACTACTGCGGAGCGGGTTCATGCGACCCTGCCAAGACGGTGCCATCCACCCACCCCCCACGGCCACGCGAGGTTACAGATCTGCTCAAGGTACGCCACGATTGGTGCACGCCTGATGACTCCAGCTGCTGGCCCACCAAGACAACCATCCAAGAGCTGGAGCAAGAGTTAGACCCCAATGAACCAAGGCTCGGTCTCCAGTGGACTGGCTACCCGCAGCCGCAGCCCGCACCGGTGCCGACCGGCTCCTTCAACAACCAATCCTGTTATGGTCTGGGGAATACGGCTATGGGGTTCAAGGCCTTGTATTATTATGTGGATGTGGATGAGATGAGACGCTCATGCTTCAAGCCATCCAGCAACTCCACAGAATGGAACAACGTGTCAGACATGTGCAAGGCGGCTCTCCACCAGAATGAGTACCGAGATTGGAATCCATTCATTGTGGTGTTCCCTCTCAACGAGCGACATGTTGCCAGAGCCTTGAGCTTCGCCGTCCGCCACCGGATATGCATCTCCACTTCCGGTTCGGGCCACGAGTACAACAGTCGCAACTCCTGCCCGACCGGTGGAATCCTCATTCAAGTCCGTTTGGCTATGAGCGGCTGAGGGCCACGTGGAGTCGATTCTCGGCTTGGGCGCTGATGTTGAACCCCAAGGTCAGCACGCAGGCAGCATTCTTCATCGACACTTCCAATTATACGACCGGCGGTCTATGCGCAGTCACATGGAAATTCAATGTTGAATATTTCTACGCAGGAGGAGAGAAAGAGCCGAATTACCGTCTTTTCCGCGACCGACTCAAGTCAGTGCTGGAGGTGACGGCCATAGAGGAGCGTAACTTCAAGTCAGCCTTTGACTACGTGCTCAGCATGCCGGCCGACAAATTCCTACTCTCCGTCGGTAACCCCCTCCCTACTCCGCACCCGCCTTCTGACAATGCTACTGGCTCCCAAAACTCGGTTTTTGTCTCACGACCGACAAGGCATGGAAACAAAGTTCGCCCCCACAATGATGGAGGTGCTGGATATTTGTGTGACATCCTTGATGCATCCTGACTCAACCTCGCCAGATGCAACGGGGCACCGCTGTGGCTTTCACTACCTCTACACTTCGTTGACTGGCAATCTGGGGAGCTCACAGCCATGTGATACGGCCATCTCACCTGGCTTTCGCTCAGCTGTAATGCTGTTGAATGCGCGTACGCTGACCACCCAACAGTCAATGGACACTTTGTATCGCATTGGCCCGAACAGCTATTTCTCTGAGAGCTCCTACGTCATGCATAACTTGACGTTCTGCTATTGGGGCCAGGCATTGTACCAACAACTACTGGCCATCAAGAAAGCGCACGACCCGGGTAACCATTTGTGGTGCCATCGCTGCGTCGGAGACAACCCAGAAGATGCCTACGGAGACCACTCAGTGAGGTTGCTGGTTTGGTCTAGATCACTCATAGCATGCGTTTGTACGTTGTGTGAAGTCAATAAACATCACCAGTGGAAACTAAATTAGCCTCTATCTGTTATACTACTTATACATCACTCTCAATTTAAGAATATATAGTTAAACGCATTTATTCCAACTACACTTTGAGCTAGAAGCTAACTGAAACTAGCACTACTTGTGAGTACTGAAACAGATGTTTGTCCCCAGTTGCCTCGCAGCCCTCCAATGAATCAACATATTCATTATGCAGGGCAATGGTGATAAATTGTCCGCCAAGAGTATGCTATGATTGTGTTCATGAGAAGGAGAAAAATGAACATGCATTCATTTAAGCGGCGGTAGCGAAGCCGATGCGGCCGTTGGTAGTATCATAGACTGAGTAGTAGTTTTCCAGGAACTTCTGGCCAATAATGGTGTTGACGCCCGAGCTGCCACCGTCGTTAATCCATGCGTAGTACTTTCCAGAGCTGAGTCCGAATAAGCTGTACTGAGAGGTGGGAACCAAGTACTGCGACGGTGTAAGAGTGTAAGTCGTCGAGCCAAACTTGATGGCAAAGTTAGATGTTGGCGCTTTTGAGAAGACAGCGAGGCCAGTTGAGCTATCAGTCTTGCCACCAGCAGCAGACAGGAACGCATTATAAGCCTTGGTGGGGATGTAGATGAGCGTAGTACCAGTATCGACAATGCCGGTCGCAGACGATGCGAGGGTCGTCGAGCCGTAGGTGAAGCTAGCAATAGAGATGCCCCAGTAGGGAGCAGCAGAGCCACTCTTGAGAGTTGAGAAGTAGGTGAGGGAGCCCGTGTACTTGGAGCTGTCAGTACCGCCGAGACTCAACTCGCCATTGGTGTCATCACTGTCACTGCCAGACTCTGGCTTGAAGGAAACACCCAGCACCTCAGTCGAGATGGATCCTTGGCTATAGAGGTTATCCAGGAAGGTTGGGACTGTGTTGGCATTGGAGACGGTGTCTTCAGTGAGATCTACGGGACCAAAGCCAATAATTCCATCGACACCTTGAAAGCCGGAGGATGAGCGGGCAGATCCAATCGACTGTGATGTGACGGTCAAACCACCGAAGGTAACTGTGTCCTTGTACTCGGTGCCGGAGAAAGAGCCGGAACCATAGCTAACCTGGACGGAACCGCCCGTGGACTTGCCAGTGGAAGATGGCTCGCATGAGCGTTGGGCACCACACCACGTATTTGAAGCTAGCCAGGATATCAGGTTAGCACATGCGTTGCTCATCAGCGTCAATGTAGTGAAGACGTACATCCAGTGTCGACGATGAGGTCCCAGGATTGACCGCCAATAGTGACCGAGGCAACATAGCTAACGTCTTCGTTGGTGACTGGGCCGCTAGCCCTGGCCTCGATGTCCTTGACGCCGTTGATCTTGTTGATGCGTGCTTGGCCCTTTTGGACAATGTTCTTCAACGACTTGACGTTGGAGACACGCTTCACTGGTAAAGCTGCAATCTTGGCACTGGGCTTTACCGGTGATGCCAAGGCAGCAGTTGCTGCCGCAACAATGGCAATAGAGGAGAAGAGCATGGTGTCAGTAGACGGAGATGTTTAACTCAGGACAAAGAGATTTGTAGTGTGAATGCTGTTGAGTCAAATTCTCGATAATTAGGGCGTGATACCATGCTTTTATAGACCAAATTCTGCTTTACTGCAAGATGCTCTCTCTGCATCTTGATGAGGTTTACAGCATGACTGATCACGTCAATCGAACTTTTGATTATGCAACTTGATGCTCTTCCGTCCTAACCGAACAATGTGCATTCAAATCCTGTGTACACGGGTAAAGCGGCCCATATGCAGTTGTTGTAACTGCCAGAAACTTCTTAGACGGAGCCATGATTAAAGATTCTCGTCGCTTCTCGAGAGGCTTAGGGAGCTAAGCTATACGCGAGGTGACGATATTCACGTGTCGATCCCGTTTCTGTTCCTAGCTGTTACTAATACCTGCTATATAAGGCAAGTCATATACTGTGGCGCATCTCGCGCAAGTGCCGCTAACAATGGTTTGCAGTCAAGGTTTATTTGTGGAAGAGATAAGAGCTTCCCTATGTAGCAGGTGCAATAATTATTCGAAGCGGAGGCGGAATCAAGATGCACGAGTAGGCGCAATACAACTATAATCCTCTTAATTGATTGGTAGACTACCTAATCTAGATTCTGCTCCGGCCAAGAGATTTATTTTCCTTGCTTAGCCGAAATAGTAATGCCCAGACTCGATATCCTCCGAAAACGACCCTCCCGCTGCCGATATCCAAAAGTGCCGGCCCGTATGCCTAGCTTACAAAGAAACCAGGCGGGGCAACAACAAAAGGCCCGTACCATGCGTTTATTGCGGAAATGGCACGCTGTATTATTAGCTATCATTATCGTAACCGCTTTGCTACTCCCTGCTAAGGCATAGTCTGAAATGTTGTGATCTGACGCTGGCACAACGTTATTAACGAGGCAGAGTCGGTCCCGCGATCATTAACATGATACGACCCGTTATACATAGCGCTAACACGGTTAAAGTTTAAACAAAGAATTAGGAATATGGTGGAGCTAGCTATTTACAAGGGATTGGTCTGTGGCAAAGGGCCAGACCGTAATAAGACGCCGCTGACCATGGCGCCATCAATATACTCTCAAGCGCTAACATGGCATTTGTGCTCAACTAAATACAACAATGTTTAAATTTTTCAGCCGTAATAAAGGGGGAAACAGTAACGCAAGTGAACATTCTCTTGCTCTCTATGTCCATTGGATCTTCGCAACTCAAAAGAATGGACAGATAGATAACAGTGGCGGACAGAATGCCCCGAATAATGTGCAACAGCATTACCAATAATTATGTGAATTCAGGCACTTCCATTGCTGTTAACCTTTATTATTATGCTACGACGTCATAGGGATTTGAACTGTGATTAACCCACTAGGGAAGGCAATAAGATTGCAGTATACAGTATAAAGGCAACAGAATTTAAAAAGTGGAAATAAAGTAGAGAATTTCCTATATGAGCTGGGAAAAAATTATTCTGCTACCTGCTATCAATTTTTGGAGGGAGAGGAATAAATAATAAGTTCCTTAGTAGCACCGCTGTTGGATGTTCTGGTTGGGGTTGATATAACACGAATATCTCTGCCTAATGGAGTTGGGATAAGCCCCACATTCTATTGTTAGTTTAACAGCTACCACAATACCCCAACCCTCCCGCCCACCTCGCAACAGATAATGCATGGCTTCGTTTGCTTTATAGCATTACTTCATTTTTACCTTCCTATAACATTCGGTTCATAAAGTGGTTAGGCTTGGGACTTAACAGAGGTAATATTATGGTTCAGAAGATGTCCCATTTTTTGCCCAGTCAGTAGGCTTCTAGATAATCTGCCTTTTAACACCTTCAAAATCTGTTTATGCAGATATTTTCCATGGTGTATCTCTTACATCCTTGAATAAAGTCACTGTGATTGCATATGTAAAGATTGTGATAGGAAATAACAATGTAGTTGTTGGTATTTTGGTTGCACCTTACCGACAATCTTAGGCAAGCTTGGATTAGTCTTACCTGGTCGGACCTAAGCTTGACCTACGTTTCGGGATTAAGATACTTGAGTGCATGAAGGTAATTAATATAAAATATTAATTTTATTAAAGCCATAGCAGATAATAGAAATCCCATAGGCATATTATACTACACTTTTAGCTCTTGCGTTTTATTCCTTGTTTATTAGTTATTGGGCCATGAATCTTATCTCCTGATTTAGAGTTTAATGCAGAACTAATAATATAGCCAGCATAGGTTTATATATCTATAACGTATGAGCAATAATACAGCTATTATTACTAAAATTAGCAAGGCGGAGCTTAGCTGTTCTTACTAGATTTGTTTCCGTCGTGGGAATTGCCACTGGTATTATATATTACTGCGCTATATTGGAGTTTCCAGATATATAATTCCCAACAAACGTAATATACTCGCAATTGCTTCTCCTAATATCTCTATATTATCTCAAACTCTCTAATAACAGTATACTCCATGTCTTTTATAATACTCTACGACTTGTTATGGGCCGTAATTGACTAGGTATTAAGATTCATAATATCTTTCACACTGGTTACCCTATTTTACACGTAATATACTTCATAGTCACGAAGACAGTATTCCGGTAAACTATACCCCATATCTTTCACGCCTATAAATACATTGCGTTATTATATGTAGGTAAATCTATACCACTGTATTAACATGTACCGCCCCTTCCAAACTGTCCGGCGGTAATATTAAGTAACGCCTCTGATACAATACTACCCGTCAGTCCAGGGAACGTGTTGTTGAATTTGTCTACAACAACTTGCTCCAGGGTGTAGAAATCAAGACCCTTAGCTTCAATGTCCTTTTGCCAAAACGTAAGATACGACTGGCCGTGGGCAAGATTCTGCTGTGCTCTAGAACCCCAGACGGAAAGTGTATGTCCAGCGACAATGCTTTCGGGCTCCATGGACTCAATCAGCTCTAACCTCGCGATTCAGGATGAAATACGAGCAGTCGTTTGCAAATCTGCAAGCCAAATGTGCAGCTCGTGGCTGTAGATGGTGTCGCCCGCAATCAAGGTTCGGGTGGAAGGGATCCAAAAGAGCGTTTCATCAACTGTGTCTCCGCTCACAAGACGCACGAGCTCAATAGGTGCGCTTTCGTCGCCAGGTAGGGTAAAAAAGGTATAGTCATAGGGGGTTGGGATGGAGGTATTAGACACAATGTTGTCAGCACCAAACGCCTTTTGCTATCTTGCAATCTATTGAAGTTGGAATGAGAGGAGAAGAGGGAAACCGTGCCATCATACCTGCGCAGGAGCCTCACTCTTGATATATTCAATGGCCCTGCTGTTGGCGTAATACTTTGCCGTGGAAAAATAGTTAAGGAATGCACCTTCGCTTTGGTAGTAACTCGGATAAAGTGCGTTATAAACACAGCAACGAGAGGCCTATCCATAGCGTTTCGCACTCATGGTTCCAATTTATTTGCTTCAAGGACAGCAAGTGGCACATCAATCCGAACTGCTGCTTCAGATTGAGAGATTTATAGGGGTATTTACTTACTTGTTACTATATTCTAATAGTTTAATAATGGAAGTATAGCCACTTGTTTCAGGAAAAATACGTTTAGCTTTGTAGCTTAAGAATATAAACTGCTACTAAATAGGATCTCCACTGGATATATCTTAGACCTTCCTATTCCAGACCTTTGAGAGAAAATCTTCTATCTTCGCAAACTCATAGTCAGGGAATATTTGGTTCAGTTCGTTAGACACATCCCAGCCTCCCTCAAGACTACTAAGAAAAACACCAGTAACTACTATTTTCGACATAACCTCTGCTTCTTCATCACTAATAGCTGAATGATGCCTCTCGAAGCGCCATGGCAGAGTAAGATTCCCAGCCTTGACATCTTCTAGTTGAACTTTTTCAACAGTAAAGGGGCGGTCTATAGAATATTAGAACAGAGATGCATGAATATTTGGACTAGACCGCAGATATAAATTACCTCTAAGCTTTTCTCCAATCTTGATAATTTGGGAAAAGGTGGCTCGGTTGCCTTGAATTCCACTGACCTCTGGCCACTCTTTATCGTAGTCGACAGCTTTGGCAATCATTGCGGCAGTATCAGCCGCCGAGGTCAATGTAATCGTAGTGTCCCCATGCCCTTCAATGATGACAGCCCGGCACTTTTCAAAATCGAAAATAAAGTCTATAGGCTCTATGTGCTTTGATGTTTTGTATGGGGATGCGAGGTAGTCTAAGAAAAGGCCGGGTTGAAACAAGGTATATTCAAGGACCTAAAACATGTTAGATAACCATGGAACGTTCGTTTGAACGTGGGAGAAAAGCCAAAACGTACTTTCCCACTCGCATTGAGTTTTCTCAAGTACTCCCTTGCCACCTCTTTCCCAGAATACCAAGACATATGAGCAGTTCCCGAGCTTTATAAAAAAGGTTTAAGTATTTGCGGCCAAAACTAAGATATAAAATCTCATGACTTGTCTTACCTTCCATATTCGCTGGGTGCAAAACGCTTGACTCCAGCAGCAACAGATGCATCAATCAACTGTTTCTGTGTATCCTGCCCAGATTGCTGCATGATCTGAACAAAAGATAACAGAGTGTGTGTACCCTTGAGAGCTTCCACCAAGGCACCATGGTTGCTATAATCCACTGCACGCCAGGTAGTTCCGGGAATCACATCTTCGTCCGAAGCTTCCTGTACAAATATTAGACTCTTTGAAATCAAAATGACACTTGGCGCACTTCTACGAGGCTACTGACTCTTCGACTCAAAATGGTAACGCTGTGTTTCCCCGTAACAAGAAGGGCATCTATTATCTCCCTGGCAACCGCTTTTGAAAAGAGAAAACTCTAGTTAGTTTGGCTTATCTTGGTTGAGGTTGTATAAATATTAGAATAACATACGACCAGAGCCACCTGCAATAGTAACATTGACCATTGTAAGTAATTGGAGAAATAGTGTTGCTGATTCAAAGTATATGCAGTGTGCGCTTTTGTTGTAAGCTTTTGAGAGAGGAATATAGCGAGATTTTATACTTTTTAATTTTGAAAGAAATTTGGCCACAATATGCAATACAAGATTCGTGGCTATATAGCAATAACCACCGTAGGCGACCAACGTCCCCATGGCTTATACACTGAGCGATATTGATAGATTGCTAATGTCTCTTGGCGTTGACTGGGTTCAAGAGCTAATCAGAGAGGGGCAATCCTTCCGCCGCGGTCGAAGCGCTGTTGTAATACGCCATTGCGGTTTATTTCGCTAGGTGCCTAATCCAATCAGGGAGGAGCGTCCATTCCACCGCGGTCGAACCAGTTTGAACACGTGTTACAGCGACTTGTCTCTCCGCCGCGGCGGTTTAGAATTAATACGCCACACGTATTGCGTGTTCACCTTGACTCATCATCACTGATTTTCACCTCTGCCCACATTTGACATAACGATGACCACGGTGATATCCGCCAATGGCGACGGAGGCAATGGCCAATCTTCCACACCTAAGCGCAGAAAGATCCGGAAGGGCACGCAAAGTTGCTGGGAATGCAAGCGAAGAAAGATCCGATGTACTTTCGCCGCTCCAACTGAGACTATATGTGACGGGTGCAGAAGTCGGCGTGTCAAGTGCATTAGCCAAGAATATCATGACGATGCACCATTGACATCAACGCCAGATAAACGAGGAAAGGGTCTCGACAAGACAGTATGTTTCTTCTTTTCTAATCCTTCAATAACTATCTCTTAGACTAACATCGAAAAGCGCTGCCAAGTTGACAGTTCATTTGGCACTAGACCACCTTCCACATACAACTATATGGGAAGAGAAGCATTTATCAATTCATCAATCGATTATGATAGAATCTCCCAGCAACTCCTGGCAGCGTGGCCGAGCTCACGTGAGCTTGAGACCATATCAAGTATGAAAATCAACAATACTTTCAATTTATTTCATGGCGTCACATGTATGCCATACTCGACCTTTATGAATAACGACCTACCATCACTTCAGGACGTGCTGCAATCGCCTCTACCAGGATCCCACCCAGTACTGATTGCCCGCAGGCTTCTAATGCTGGGTGTCTTCTTACAAAGCGGGTCACCTTTATCATCTGAACTGCAGAGTATCATGTGCCAGGTTGTTGAGATAGCAAACAGACTTGTTACTAGCAATGATGATATGGTTATCTCGCTCGAAGGCATTGAGTGCATTATGATGGAAGCTATGTTTCGTAACAATACGGGCAATCTCCGCGGTGCTTGGGTCTCAAATCGCCGAGCTATGACGATGGCGCAACTAATGGGTCTTCATCGATACAGAACCGCTGTTCCTGCTAGTAGCAATAAAGACTGGGGTGCTAGACCTCTGCCGAAAACTATTGATGCTGAGACACCAAATCGTATCGAGCCCGACTCGATGTGGTTCCGACTCGTCTCTACAGATAGATATCTATCCCTAATACTGGGGTTGCCCCAGGGGTCTCAACAAGACCCTCATGTCGTCTTCTCAGAGTCAAAGGAGCCCAAAGAGGATGCAATAATAGATCGCCTTGAGCGGCGTGAAATAGTTGCCGCGGGTCTCATTCTGCAACGAAATAGTACCAACATCCACGACCTTGAAGCGACACTCAAGGTGGATAAACTTTTTCAAGAGGCAGCAGCTTCAACGCCTGCCCAGTGGTGGCTCCCTCCCGAGCCTTTGTCTATCGCTGGCAACACCATGGACGCCTTCAAGGAGACTCTTCGACTTATGTATCAGCTTACCCATTATCATTTACTTACACAATTACATCTCCCCTATATACTTCTGACTTACAATGACCGGAAATACGACTATGGCAAAATGACAGCCATTAACGCGAGCCGTGAGATACTATCACGTTTTGTGCTTTACTTTGGCAATGCTTCTAACTATTCTCCCTACTGCCTCGGTGTCAACTATATAACCTTTATCGCTAGTATGACGCTATGTCTTGCTCATATAAAAGGACATTGTCATCGCCAAAATAACACCCTTACTAATGTGAATACCAGCATCTTTCAATTTCTCACACACCAACGCCCTCAAGATATTGGCTTTATTGAGCGTGTACTGGATAGTATGGAGCATAAGATAACAACAGACAACAACCCCATAAACCAAACAATTATTAACACCCTGAAACAACTTGTTGGCATTGAAGCTTCTATTGCCAATCAGAGTTCTGTTGTTGCGAAGATTTCTTGTCAAATCGGCGGTAACGGACTTGAAGGTGGTGTTAGTATGCATCTGAATAATGGTGTTCTGCATATCTATATCCCCTACTATGGTACTATCAGAATAGAGCGCGAAAACTCTTTGTATAAGTTTCTTGACGACAACTATTTTTTGGTAAACACTGTACCACAGATACCCTTGGAAATATTTCAATCACCAACGGAAAGGGCTATTATTATAGAGCCCATCGGTGAGCTTTCTGTATCTAATAGCCAAAATACAAAGGAGGATAGTAGATTAATGCCGAGTTTTGGGGAAGAGTTTGGAGATTGGGCATTTGGTAGCATAGATTTAGGTTTCTTAGAGACACTTTAAATAACTCGCAATACTTAAATTGTACCGTTTATATAATAATATACCTTTAATAATATGTATGGAATTAATCCAATATGTTTGAAAGATTATATAAACATAAAGGCATAGGCTAAACTAATACTCAAAGCCCTATACTAATAGCGCCAGCAGCAGCCATAGTAATAAATCCCATTAAGCCTCTATTAGTAATAGTCCTAATAGCTGCAGCTACAGTTACAACTGCAGGGGGATTTGTAGGGGTGTTAGTATAGCCTCCTATGGATGTGGTGCTAGAATTAGTAGGTAGTATTATAATGGCTATAGTTAAAGCTACAAGGGACTTATAAGTAGTTAAGGGCCTATTGCCTCCTTATCACAACCCAACCTCTTATAGTACTCTGAGACAAGCACTGGATTAACTATTAGGCCGCCTTAGCTAATTATTAATAAAATAATTAAGCTATATTATTTTAATATAAAAGAAATAACTAAGCTATATTATTCTAATATAAAAATAATACTTAGTAAGTATTTTATATATATATAAGAATAATATATTATATTATTTCTTATAAAATAACTTACTATATAAAAATAAAATATTTATATTTATTAAATAGCTTAAATAATTAGTTATTAATATAATAATAAAATTAATTTTAGTATTTAATTTATTAATTATATAATAAGATTATTTATTATATCCTACTACCTTTATTAATATAAACTATAATTAATTTATTACCTTAAGAATTACCTTATATTATTTAATATAAACTAATTTATTATATATTAATAACTTTTATTTAAAATAGTATTATATACCTTTAAGTAATAAAAAGTATTATAGCTCCTTAATTAACTCTTAAACTTACTATTACTTTTAAAAATTTTACTATAGCTTTAAAAAAATTTTAAGTATAAAATAATTAATTAAAAAATAACTTAAAGCTAGCTTAAAATATTAAAATTACTAAAATAATTAAACTTAAGTAATTAAAATTTTTTATTAAAAAAACTAATATTTTATAAACCTTTTTTAATTAACTTAAGGTTTATTATATTATTAATAGTAAATAGTTTTTAATTATTAAAAATAAAATTTTTTATATTTTTAACTATATAAAAAAAGTTATACTTTACTAATTTAAACTTATTATAAAAAACTATATTAAAATTATAAATATATTTTATAATAGTAAAATTACTTATATTTTCTTAAATTATATAAACTTTAAAATTATACTTTAGTTAGTTTTTAAAATAATTAATAAAAAATAAATTATTAAATAAAAACTTAGGGATTTTTATTAAAAAAAGGCTATATTTAAGTATATTTCTTAGTTTATATAAATCTCCTTAAAGCTTAAATAAAAATATAAACCCTTAATAAAATACTTTTATAAAAAATTAAAAAAAAAAGTAAAAAATAAATTATATAAACTTAATTATTTTAATACTTTTTAAAAATATATAAATAAAGTTATTAAAATTAATAATAAATAATATAAGTATTAGAAAAAGTATAAAAAAAAATTATAATTTTTTTTATTATATTATTATAAAGCTAACTAAAGTAAAAAATAATATAAAAAAATTACTTATACTTATAAAATAAACTTAAAATAAATAAACTTTAATACTATTACTAAAAAAAAAAAATTCTTTTATTATAACTATAGTAAAAAAAGCTATATAACTTAAAATTATTAATTTAAAAAAATTAATAAATTATAAAAATAATTTAAATAAATTATTAATATTATTTATAAGTTTAAGTAATTATTAAATTAAAAATATAATAATAATAAAATCTTTAACTTAAATATAGCTTAAGTTATAAAGAAACTTAAACTTAATAAATTAATATAAACCTTAATAAAAAAACTTACTTTAAAAAAAATTAATAACTTTAAAAATATAATACTTATATATAATATTATATTTTTATTAAAAATTACTAATATTATTATAATTAATATTATATTTTTATTATAAAATATACTTAAAGTATAATAATATATATAAATTTATATAATATTATTTATAAATTTTAATTAAATTAATACTCTTAAGGTATTTAAACTTATAATTAAAATTTTTAGGAAAAATAATTTTAAAATATAATAGTAATTTATAAATTAAGAAAAAGTATAATATAATATTTACTTTACTAAGGAATATAATTATAAAAACCTAAAATTATATATTAAGTTTTATTATAAAACTTATATAATTTTTAAAGTTTAAGAATAATATACTTAATAATATAAATCCCTAAATTTTAAAAAATATAATTTAATAAAATAATATTAATATTATTACTAAAATTACTATTATAATATATAAATTAAAAAAAAGTTATATAATTATAATTATAATTTTTAAATTTATAAAAAATAAAAAAATATAAATAATATTAAGGCTTATTATAAATATAACTTTATAAATATATTTATTTATAATTATTACTAATATAAAATATATAATAAAAATCCTTAAGTATTATAAATATTATTATATATTAATAATATTAATTTTAAAAAAAAATAGCTAAAATAATTTATAATTATTAATTTTAAAAATATTTATTATAAAATTTAATTTAAAAAAAATAAAAAAACCTTAAAAAATAATAATTTTAAGAAAAAAAATAACCTCCCTAAGGAATTTATTAATATTATTATATAATTAATATAATTATTAAAATTTTTAATAAAAGTAATTATTAAAAAATATAAATTTATAATATTTTTTAATAATAAAGTTTAAAGTAATTATATTTTACTTATACTTATATTTAAGTTATAATTATTATATAAAAATAAAAATAATAAAAATTATAATATATTTATTATAAATAATTAAAAATTTAAATATAATAAAAAAATTATTAATACTAAAATATTTTTCTTAAATATTAAAATTTAAGGTAAAATAAAAAAAATTAATTTTAATATATTAAATATTCTAAGATTTAAAACTTTATTAAAATATATATAATTAAAAAAAAGTAACCCTTAGGTTAATTAAGAAATAAGCTAAATAAATTAAGTAAATAACTTTAGTTTATTAAAAATACTAAAACTTAAATTATAATTATTTTAGAAAAAGTAATAAAAAAGTAATATATTATTAAAAAATTTAAAGCTTTTTAAATTAAAAAATAAAAAATCTAAAATAAAAAAAATTAAATTTAAGGCTTTTTAAAAAATATTATAATAATACTAAAATAAATAAAATAAAATAAAATAATAAAAAATTTATAAAATAATTACTTTAATATAAATAAAATTTTAAAATTTTAATTAAGTTTTTTTAAAAGCTAAAAAGAAAGTTAACTTTAATCCTAAGAAATAGTAAATAACTAAAGTTTTATAATAATATTATAAATATAAAAAATTATATTAAAAAACCTTAAAAATAAAACTATTGCTTTATATAAAATAAAATTATAAAATTATATTAAAAAAAAAATTACCTTAAAGTTTTATAAAATTTATAACCTTAGTAAATTTAAACTTAAAATACTTAAGGAATAAATTAAAAAATAACTTTAGAAAAAATATATTTATATTTTTAATTTACTTATTAAATACTTTATTATTTTTATATTAAAAAAAAATAAAAAACTTTAATTAATTATTAACTATTATTAACTTAATAATATTATTATTAAAAATAAAACCCTATTATTATTAATTAATAAAATTAAAAAATACTTTACTAAAATAAATTATTTTATAATACTTAACTTTACTAAAGTTTATAAATTTATTTATATTAAGGTAAAAGATAAATAAAAAACTGCTTTTTAAATATAATATAATTTTTATAAATATTTAGTTATATTATAAAAACTTACTAATACTTTATTAATAACTAGGGAATATACCTTTAAACTAAGCTATTAATACCTAAATATTTTTATAAGCTACTTAGTTTATTTAGCTACTATAAAAACTATAGTGCAAAAATAAAATTATAGTATTATTTAATTTAACTACTGCGGCTTTATTTTAACTAAAATAAAGCTGCTATTTTAGCTAAAGTTATTTTTATTATAATAATATATTTTAATTTTTTTATTTAGCTAAAGAAAATATTCCTTATTTTATATTACTAAGCTAATTAAAGCCTAGCTTAGTTATTTATTTTAGCTAATATTAATTACTAATTATAAACCTAATTAAAAATCCTTATTAAAAGCCTTCCCTTAAGATTTAGGAATAAACTCCTAAAGTATTTGCTTAGAAATTTTAAAATAATAACCTATTATCTTAAGGATTATTTAATTTTCTTATATTTTTTTTAGCTTTTAAAAAAAAATTAATTTTAAAAAAAAACTATAAAGAAAATATTATATTTTACTTAGGCTTAGTTAATTAATTATAAAGGAAATTTTTTAGCCTTAGTTTATTATTATTTTTATATTTTAATTATAATTTTTTATATTTTTAATACTTTTAGTTAATTTTTAATTTTTTTTATTCTTAGTAAAATTATTTATTTTTTTCCTACTACTTTAATACTTCTTAAGTAATTACTTATTTACTATAAGTATTTTAGGTTACTAAGGGTTTTTATAAACTTATAATAGCTTTATAAATATAATCTTAAGTATTTTTATTTATTAGCTTTATAAAAATAAAAAAGTAAAAGTTATTTAATATAAAAGTTTAAAAAACTTAGTAAAAATATAATATTTTTACTTTTTTTATAAAGCTAATAGTTATTTTATATTTAGCCTTTTTAAAATATTTTAACTAAAAG